GCCTCACTATCCTCATAAAAACTCTTTACAGCATTTAATAACTTACCACCTATTCCATATACTTGCAACATCTGCCACATTGCTCCTCTATCCACTCTATCATATGCCTTTTCTAAATCCATAAATGCAATAAAAACTTCCCTATCTTTATCTAAATACTGTTCACATATATGCTTCAATGTAAACACCTGATCTACACATCCCCTACCCACTCTAAAACCTCCTTGCTCATCCGCAATCCTACATTCTGTCTTACCTCTAATTCTTTCAATTATAACCCTACCGTACACTTTTCCTGGTATACTCAGTAAGCTTATTCCTCTATAATTTTTACAGTCTCTTTTGTCCCCTTTCCCTTTATATAAAGGGACTATACATGCTCTCTGCCAATCCCTAGGTACCTTCCCCTCTTTCATACATTTATTAAACAAAAGTACCAACCACTCCAACACTATATCCCCCCTGCTTTTAACATTTCTGTCATGACCCCATCAGTTCCAGCTGCTTTACCCCTTTCATTTTACGTAATGCCTCACGTACCTCCCCCACACTTACATTCTGCTCTTCTTCACTCCTAAAAGATGGTATACCTCCCTGACCAGTGCATGAAATTACTGCCTCTGTTTCTTCCTTAACATTTAAAAGTTCCTCAAAATATTCTCGCCATCTACCCAATACCTCCATCTCCCCATCTACTAACTCCCCTACTCTGTTTTTAACTGACAAATCCATATTTTCCCTAGGCTTTCTTAACTTGTTTAACTCACTCCAAAATTTTTTCTTATTTTCATTAAAATTTCTTGACAGTGCCTCTCCCACTCTATCATCTGCTCTCCTTTTGCACTCTCTCACCACTCTCTTTACCTTTCTTTTACTCTCCATATACTCTGCTCTTCTTATAACACTTCTGCTTTGTAAAAACCTCTCATAAGCTACCTTTTTCTCTTTTATCACACCCTTTACTTCATCATTCCACCAATCACTCCTCTTTCCTCCTGCCCCCACCCTCCTATAACCACAAACTTCTGCCCACATTCTAATACTGCATTTTTAAAACTATTCCAACCCTCTTCAACCCCCCCACTACTCATCTTTGCACTAGCCCACCTTTCTGCCAATAGTCGCTTATATCTCACCCGAACTTCCTCCTCCCTTAGTTTATACACTTTCACCTCCCTCTTACTTGTTGTTGCCACCTTCCTCTTTTCCCATCTACCTCTTACTCTAACTGTAGCTACAACTAAATAATGATCCGATATATCAGTTGCCCCTCTATAAACATGTACATCCTGGAGCCTACCCATCAACCTTTTATCCACCAATACATAATCTAATAAACTACTTTCATTACGTGCTACATCATACCTTGTATATTTATTTATCCTCTTTTTCATAAAATATGTATTACTTATTACCAAATTTCTTTCTACACATAGCTCAATTAAAGGCTCCCCATTTACATTTACATATATATATATATATATATATATATATATATATATATATATATATATATATATATATATATATATATATATATATATATATATATATATATATATATAAATATATTTTTTTTTTTTTTTTTTTTTTTTTCAACAAGGCCGTCTCCCACCGAGGCAGGGTGACCCAAAAAAAGAAAGAAAATCCCCAAAAAGAAAATACTTTCATCATTCAACACTTTCACCACACTCGCACATTATCACTGTTTTTGCAGAGGTGCTCAGAATACAACCGTTTAGAAGCATACACATATAAAGATACACAACATATCCCTCCAAACTGCCAATATCCCAAACCCCTCCTTTAAAGTGCAGGCATTGTACTTCCCATTTCCAGGACTCAAATCCGACTATATGAAAATAACCGGTTTCCCTGAATCCCTTCACTAAATATTACCCTGCTCACACTCCAACAGATCGTCAGGTCCCAAGTACCATTCGTCTCCATTCACTCCTATCTAACACGCTCACGCACGCTTGCTGGAAGTCCAAGCCCCTTACCCACAAAACCTCCTTTACCCCCTCTCTCCAACCCTTTCGAGGACGACCCCTACCCCGCCTTCCTTCCCCTATAGATTTATACGCTTTCCATGTCATTCTACTTTGATCCATTCTCTCTAAATGACCAAACCACCTCAACAACCCCTCGTCTGCCCTCTGACTAATACTTTTATTAACTCCACACCTTTTCCTAATTTCCACACTCCGAATTTTCTGCATAATATTTACACCACACATTGCCCTTAAACAGGACATCTCCACTGCCTCCAACTGTCTCCTCGCTGCTGCATTTACCACCCAAGCTTCACACCCATATAAGAGTGTTGGTACTACTATACTTTCATACATTCCCTTCTTTCCCTCCATAGATAACGTTTTTTGACTCCACATATACCTCAACGCACCACTCACCTTTTTTCCCTCATCAGTTCTATGATTAACCTCATCCTTAATAAATCCATCCGCCGACACGTCAACTCCCAAGTATCTGAAAACATTCACTTCTTCCATACTCCTCCTCCCCAATTTGATATCCAATTTTTCTTTATCTAAATCATTTGACACCGTCATCACCTTACTCTTTTCTATGTTCACTTTCAACTTTCTACCTTTACACACATTCCCAAACTCATCCACTAACCTTTGCAATTTTTCTTTAGAATCTCCCATAAGCACAATATCATCAGCAAAAAGTAACTGTGTCAATTCCCATTTTTGAATTTGATTCCCCAAATTTAATCCCACCCCTCTCCCGAACACCCTAGCATTTACTTCCTTTACAACCCCATCTATAAAAAATTTTAAACAACCATGGTGACATTACACATCCCTGTCTAAGACCTACTTTTACCGGGAAGTATTCTCCCCCTCTTCTACACACCCTAACCTGAGCCTCACTATCCTCATAAAAGCTCTTTACAGCATTTAGTAACTTACCACCTATTCCATAAACTTGCAACATCTGCCACATTGCTCCTCTATCCACTCTATCATATGCCTTTTCTAAATCCATAAATGCAATAAAAACTTCCCTACCTTTACCTAAATACTGTTCACATATATGCTTCAATGTAAACACTTGATCTACACATCCCCTACCCACTCTGAAGCCTCCTTGCTCATCCGCAATTCTACATTCTGTCTTACCTCTAATTCTTTCAATTATAACTCTACCGTATACTTTTCCTGGTATACTCAGTAAACTTATTCCTCTATAATTTTTACAATCTCTTTTGTCCCCTTTCCCTTTATATAAAGGGACTATACATGCTCTCCGCCAATCCCTAGGTACCTTCCCCTCTTTCATACATTTATTAAACAAAAGTACCAACCACTCCAACACTATATCCCCCCCTACTTTTAACATTTCTGTCATGATCCCATCAGTTCCAGCTGCTTTACCCCCTTTCATTTTACGTAATGCCTCACGTACCTCCCCCACACTTACATTCTGCTCTTCTTCACTCCTAAAAGATGGTATACCTCCCTGGCCAGTGCATGAAATTACCGCCTCCCTTTCTTCCTCAACATTTAAAAGTTCCTCAAAATATTCTCGCCATCTACCTAATACCTTCCTCTCCCCATCTACTAACTCCCCTACTTTGTTTTTAACGGACAAATCCATACTTTCCCTAGGCTTTCTTAACTTGTTTAACTCACTCCAAAATTTTTTCTTATTTTCATTAAAATTTCTTGACAGTGCCTCTCCCACTCTTTCATCTGCTCATCTATATTATTATTATTATATATATTATTTCATCTATATTATTATTAATTGTCATAATTGTATTATGTACAAAAATATCCGATGTTCTTATTAGATGTGCAAACACTTTGATGTCGCCCATAAATTATGTACATATATAAATAAAAGAAAAAAATTAAAGTCAGACAGAGGTTAAATATTTTAATGACATTGTAAAAAATTTTGAACAATATTAAAATAATTAGTACAACTACTAAAACCTAAGTCAATAATATAACCTTAACCTAGACCTAAAAATCATGGTAGGTTATATATTTTATTACAAACCTTAAAAACTTTTTTTTATATTAAGATTTGACAAGAATGATCAAACTGTATTGTTATCCTTGAAATTTATTTGTCATCGTTATAGTCAGTAATAAATAGAAAAAAACAATTTAGGAAAAAAAAAATACCAACTCCAAAATTCACTACAATTTTTTTTTTTAGTTGGTAAGTAAAATTATTATCAGTGGGAATCGGCCAGTGTGATAATAAAAAAAAAAAAATAATACTGAATTAATAGAAAAAATCCAATACATTTAAAAGGGTTTCTTAATGCATCTGTGTAAAGATGAATGCATCAGAAAACACTCATCAGTAGTGAATGGTGAAGGTGACATGTTGCAAAACAAACATTTACCGAGACTTTTCGTTGTTTAGAGCTTGTGACTTAAAGGTCCACAGAGTACAACACTGTCACAATAAAAGTTTATTCTGCAACATGTTTAAGTGTATATTTTCTTTACTATTGTCTCCATTTGGATTCAGTGAATGATAGTTACACCTTTTATACCAGATAACCTTACTGTAGGCTCTGAATGGAATGCAGATTGTTATAACAGAATGGCACTCTGATCATGCTATTTTTCAAATAAGAAAAGGAAGTGTCTCAAAATGTAAAAGCCACATTAAACACCCTAGTCAAGTCACTGGCTAAGCTTTGAAATCCTGTTTATTATAGTAATATTAATATACTCAAACATAAAAGAATCCAATTTAGAATGTTATGGACAACACTGTAAGGTGTACATACATACATGGTATGGGAGCGGGTAACTATTAACAGTACAGTACACAGTATGCAAATAATTAATCTTGTACTATACAGGCAATCTTCTTAGGATACAATTATAACTACTAATAATACAAAGCTATGTATTACTAAATTTAAAATTACTAAATTTAAAAAGAGAAACTTTTGTTTTACTTTTTAGGTCACCCTGCCTTGGTGGGAAAAGGCTGGTTTGTTAAAAAAAAAAATACAAAACTAAATACTGTATACTGTACCAGTAATATAATTCAAAATATTGAATTTTGCACTGTTTGAACATATTAAAATAAAAAGAAACAAATGCCTGTGTTAAGCATTCTTTAATTAGTACTTGATGATTAAGTGCACATCACACGTGTCAAATGGAATTTAAAGCTTTGTGCCCTCTTTCAGTTAACAAGTGCAAAGTTAGTCACAGTAAAGTCTGTGATAAGAATGAAAGATGATGCCTATATGATACCATGGTACCAGTCATGATATATCACACACAAGTTAAAACCAAAAATATGTAAAAATAACAATATTTGATAATTATATTAAACCATACTTAGGTGCTGAATTATTACCATATTTTACTAAAAACTATCAAATTTGTATGAGTCACAGAGCACTGAAGTGTTCTTCCCATTCAATCATTCAACTTAATTATATGTCTCTTCTCTGAATCACCAATAATGATCACATGTGTAACAATTTGGCATCTGAAGGTGCCAGAAAGGTTTTACCAGCACTGGCATATCTTTCAACCTCAACTAAATACAGTACAAGGTATTAAACAGAAAACTTTATGTGAAGCTTATAACTTAGGCAATAAACTTTAGTAATGTCTTCTACTCCTCACCTGTGTGTAGGAAGAAGACACTAGAGTTATAAAAGGAAACCCACCGGTAAAAGACACAACCTACAGCACAGAAACTGGAACTAGCTTACTTATCAACTTCATATAAATCAGCTCCATCATAATAATTAGGTGTGAATATTGTACCATGAATTTAACTCCAAGTGAGTCAAGTTGCAGAAAGTATTATATTTCTGAATAGATTGTGAAACAAAAAATGGATATTTCATAGTACAATATTCACGTCATTGAAAACCTCGAAGAATTAAGTTTTATGTTACAGCCATAGTTATTATCCATAAAAATAATTTCAATGGATCAAAATAAAAGATGAGCTTAAGCATCCAGCATATGGCTTTATTTATTTGTCTTTTATGGCTGTGTAAGTGATACCTGTAAATACTGTATATTTACAATCATAATAAAGTTAACAGAATAATTTTTAATTTTATATGTAATACTGTCTTTCATTTAAATAAACTGGAACAAATTCCCCCCAAAAAAGCCAGTTACTATAAACTGTGCTGGCTAAGTTAGTTAAGTAATTACACCATAACATTTATTTTAGATGCTCGCTATCCTCAGTCTTTTTCCTGTGTCTTGCATTCTATTTTTTAAATAAAATATTCAGCTAAAAGTTCCTCATGTAAGATGATAAAATACAGAATTACAGTACTTGGCAAATATTAACTAGCCACATCACTACACTACATTCGAAACAAAAAAATATTGGTAAACAGAAATAGATTACAGTATCTCTATTACAGTACAGTATTGGCAATAAATGAATAATGCATCTATATTAATGCACAATATCACATTGACGTAAGGTACAAAAATTAAAAAAAAAAAAAACTACAAAATCATGCTTTACACCGAGGACAGAGGAGCCTGTCTGATGAAAACATGTGATTATGTTGACTTATATATGGCAAGATTTATCTGTTTGTTGAAGAAATCAATGTGGTTTTGTAGATAAAGCTGAAGATGAATAGAGATGAAAAATTAGTATTCCATAATAGAGGAATTATTAGGTACTAAAACAATATACAAAGGGTAGTGATTCAAGTAAGAAGTTATCTACTGTACATACATGGAAAACTGAATAAATTTAGAATGAATGAGAATCATGCCCAAAATATTCCTGTGACATCAGCAGCAGTGAATAAAGAATACGATCCCAACACAAATGTAAAAAACTCTAGTTTGTAGCACAGGAAATATACACTAAGGCAACACAGTATTACTGAAGACAGCCTCAGTGTGAGGCAGAAATATACAGTACTTCTTGTAAATGCTACTTTACTGACTCCATATGAGCTTGTTTGTGCTGAAGGATGAAACTTGTAGAGTAATGGGAAAAAGTTCTGAAGTACAGTGGTACATCGAGTTTCGAACAGCTCCCAACTCGAACAATTATGTAAGCGTATTTTTGTAAGTGCTTTTGTAAGTGTGTTTTTGGGGATCTGAAACGGACTAATCTCATTTACATTATTCCTTATGGGAACAAATTTGTTCGGTATCAGCACTCGAACAGCCTTCTGGAACGAATTAAGTTCGTAATTCAAGGTACCACTGTACAATAAAAGAATGTACTCACAATTCCTATGTAGAAAAAAGTCAATCACAGCCTAAGCATTTATTTGTCTTAAAGATCACCTTTGTAGCAATACCCCCAAAAAACCTAACACATCTGGATAATGTTTTTAAATCACATGCTCTCATTGCCATACAAAATTAAATAATTACAGCTAAAACAGATGGAAAAGCAAAATACGACTCTTAAAAAACAACCCAGAAGAAAGTGCTTACATACCTACTTCCTACCAACAAAGATGAAAAATAAACACTTATATTACCCTAATAATTAAAACAGGCATATGCAATACAGAGAAATTAAAATTCCCAGGGGAGTAAAAAGTCACTGTATTATCACCATTCTATACATACAAAAAAATAAAACTCAATCTTCCTCCTTTCTTCCTTTAAGTCCATGAATAATTTCTGCACTATTCAATGACAAAATGTAAAACAGTACAAATTCATGAAAGTGATATACTGTATTAAACTGTCCAGAGATTAATATGAAAAACCACTCATGCTGCAACAATACAATATTATGAGCTTAGTGTTAAGTGTAGCCAACAAGGATGTGTGTAATACATCATAGAGTACAGTATAAGTATAAACACTATACATCTAGCATTCTCTTTCATCTCCAAAAATACTACAGTGCTGATAAATGCACATTCGAAAGATATTTTAAGATTCCAGCCTTACAATCAATATGAAAAAGAATATGCAACATAAGTTATACATTTGTATTGCATCTTGGCAGTTGTAAAGTTTTCACTGTTTGCATCTACAAAGTAGACCCCCACCTTTATAAAGGTGGGGGTCTACTCTGTAACTGCTCCACGTTACCTACTTTTACACATACACAAATGGGGCACTTAGCAAACAGTGAAAGCCTTACAACTGCCAAGATGCAATACAAATGTGTAACTCATGTTGCAAATTCTTTTTCAGAAATACAGGTCAGTTAAGAACTTGGAACAAGCATCTCTTATTCCATAATATCCTACTGTTAGATTATATTCATAGAGACGAGCTCAATCCATAATGATCATACAGTGCATGGGGAAGGAGACAACCAGATTTGATCCAAGGAAGGGAAGAGTAGCTTCGGTTCCTTGAAGCAAGCCCTTCACCAGCATTAAGATACACCCCTTGAAGGTCCTACTGTAAGAACTGAACGTTACTGATGCCTACAACAAGAAATGCTAATACCTTCAGTGAACTTTTCCCATGACTAAGGCCCAGGATAATTTGCCTACCTTGAAATGAAACACATTTATTTATCTATATTACTGCTACTGTACGAAGATGAGCTAAAGAAATAATCAAAGCTCAACTGTATTTTTTGTGTGTTTTTGAGCATGGAATGTGTCTTAGCTAACAACAAGGCAGACAGAACACTGAAAAATTATAGACCTCAGTACAATATGAACTGAGAAATACAGACAACTTGTGGAAGAATTTAAATGTCAAATTTAGAAATCTTCAAAATGAAAAACCTTACTCTTAGGTGGTAAATAGCTAAAAAAAAATTTATTTAATTTCTATAACCTATATGAGGGTAAGGTACCTAGGGATTGGCAGAGAGCATGCATAGTTCCTTTGTATAAAGGCAAAGGGGATAAAAGAGAGTGCAAAAATTATAGGGGGATAAGTCTGTTGAGTGTACCTGGTAAAGTGTATGGTAGAGTTATAATTGAAAGAATTAAGAGTAAGACGGAGAATAGGATAGCAGATGAACAAGGAGGCTTTAGGAAAGGTAGGGGGTGTGTGGACCAGGTGTTTACAGTGAAACATATAAGTGAACAGTATTTAGATAAGGCTAAAGAGGTCTTTGTGGCATTTATGGATTTGGAAAAGGCATATGACAGGGTGGATAGGGGGGCAATGTGGCAGATGTTGCAAGTGTATGGTGTAGGAGGTAGGTTACTGAAAGCAGTGAAGAGTTTTTACGAGGATAGTGAGGCTCAAGTTAGAGTATGTAGGAAAGAAGGAAATTTTTTCCCAGTAAAAGTAGGCCTTAGACAAGGATGTGTGATGTCACCGTGGTTGTTTAATATATTTATAGATGGGGTTGTAAGAGAAGTAAATGCGAGGGTCTTGGCAAGAGGCGTGGAGTTAAAAGATAAAGAATCACACACAAAGTGGGAGTTGTCACAGCTGCTCTTTGCTGATGACACTGTGCTCTTGGGAGATTCTGAAGAGAAGTTGCAGAGATTGGTGGATGAATTTGGTAGGGTGTGCAAAAGAAGAAAATTAAAGGTGAATACAGGAAAGAGTAAGGTTATGAGGATAACAAAAAGATTAGGTGATGAAAGATTGAATATCAGATTGGAGGGAGAGAGTATGGAGGAGGTGAATGTATTCAGATATTTGGGAGTGGACGTGTCAGCGGATGGGTCTATGAAAGATGAGGTGAATCATAGAATTGATGAGGGAAAAAGAGTGAGTGGTGCACTTAGGAGTCTGTGGAGACAAAGAACTTTGTCCTTGGAGGCAAAGAGGGGAATGTATGAGAGTATAGTTTTACCAACGCTCTTATATGGGTGTGAAGCGTGGGTGATGAATGTTGCAGCGAGGAGAAGGCTGGAGGCAGTGGAGATGTCATGTCTGAGGGCAATGTGTGGTGTGAATATAATGCAGAGAATTCGTAGTTTGGAAGTTAGGAGGAGGTGCGGGATTACCAAAACTGTTGTCCAGAGGGCTGAGGAAGGGTTGTTGAGGTGGTTCGGACATGTAGAGAGAATGGAGCGAAACAGAATGACTTCAAGAGTGTATCAGTCTGTAGTGGAAGGAAGGCGGGGTAGGGGTCGGCCTAGGAAGGGTTGGAGGGAGGGGGTAAAGGAGGTTTTGTGTGCGAGGGGCTTGGACTTCCAGCAGGCATGCGTGAGCGTGTTTGATAGGAGTGAATGGAGACAAATGGTTTTTAATACTTGACGTGCTGTTGGAGTGTGAGCAAGGTAACATTTATGAAGGGATTCAGGGAAACCGGCGGGCCGGACTTGAGTCCTGGAGATGGGAAGTACAGTGCCTGCACTCTGAAGGAGGGGTGTTAATGTTGCAGTTTAAAAACTGTAGTGTAAAGCACCCTTCTGGCAAGACAGTGATGGAGTGAATGATGGTGAAAGTTTTTCTTTTTCGGGCCACCCTGCCTTGGTGGGAATCGGCCGGTGTGATAATAAAATAAAATAAAATAAACCTATATGAATAATTCCCTTCCCTTATGCCTGTTTGAAGTTTCATTAAATGTTAATGCACAGTACTATGAAATCAAATTTACAAGACAAGCCTGGCCCATGGCCGGGCTCAAGGAGTAGAAAGACTCAAAACCCATCGAAGGTATAATGTTACAAATTATGAGCAAACCAAATACATGAATTCAAGACAGCAATCAACAAAATGCACAAGTGTTCAAGTCATGAACAAATACCTTAATTTTTATAAATGTATAATCCACTGACTTACAAAAATCTGACCCAGTCTAAATAAAAAAATATTAAAAAAATTAAATGAAGAAAACAACTGGACATAAGTGTTTCCAAAAATGCTAAACCCTGCCATAAACTTAAGTACAATATGAACGGAAAACTCCTGGCTTTAAAAGGTGAAGATGATGTACTTGTACACTACTTTGATCAGTATTACTGATTTCTTTCCTCTTGGGATATCACATTATCAAAGTAAATTGTGGAATTGTAACCCTCTTACATGTAAACATGTGAGAGGATTGTGGCATACAGGAGGCACATCAGCATTAAATATGTATGCTGTGCAAGGCATCAGACAAGTAGAGTGACATTCCAAGCATTGAGACTGGCAGGTGCCAATCATTGAGGCATCAGACATCCACACACCAATCACTAAAACATCAGAAGCAGATTGACAAGTGTCAATCATTGGCATCAGACTGGCACACACCAAACTCTGAGACATGACAAACTGATAAATACGGCAAACTGATAAATACGTACCAATAACTCAGACATCACAGACAGACTGACAAGACAGCAATCAAGACATCAGACTGACAGATAAGTCATCAAGAAAGACTGACAAAGACCAAAAATGCAGTAGCGTCTAAAAAGCATTCTAATTTATTCGGAGAACTGTAAAATTATTTATTATGATTTTCCCGGTTTATTTTAAATCATGCTTACATTATTACTATATTACTATGGCTGCATGATAGATGAATGTTGTTTTTAATAAAATAAAAAGATTAGGTAATTTCTGTCGTTATATGAAATGTATATAAACTCCAATGACCATAGCATTACAGTGAAGTTCAATACAGTATTTCAGCTACTAGTCAATATTTAAAAAAACTAATAAAATTTAATAAAAGAATTTATAACAAAATCTACAGTATATAATGTATTATACATGGATACAAGAATGAATACATAGTAATACACAGCATAACATAATACAGACCATAGACTTCATTCTTTAAAGTGTGCATGTGAAATCTGGATAGCACACATGGAAACTAAGGGACAATTGACAAAGCCAGGAAATAATAAAGACCAGGTACTAAAACAATATGGCAACAAGAAGAGAAAGAGAAACAGTAAAACTATGACTTGAAAAAGTTGGAGCTGAAATAGAAGAATAGCTAAGACAAATGATTGAAAGGCAGCACATGCAGATACAAAAGAATTCAATTTTTTGACAAAGATTTCTGCCACAGTAGATTTTTACTCGTGTTTCAATCTTCTGTCCAAGTTGTTGCTTAGTATCTTCCAATTACAGATATTACAAAAAAAAAAAAAAAAAGGAAGATTAAAACTTTTCAAGACACAGAGAAGTGTCCAGGGTGTTAAAAAATGCCAATAAGGCTGTCAAAGGTATACACAATATTAGAAATAATTATCTTAAAGTCTGTTGTTATAATCATAGGGAGATGTTGAATTCATAAGTCATATATATACAGTACCTGGGAAATGGGAGATAATCAGGCTTGATCCAATGAATTGGATAATAGCTCGAATCCTTTGAATCAAGAGCTCTTCACCAGCATCAAGGCACCCACCATGAAGAGTTAAAGGCATGTTAAAATCAAAGTGACGAGCAACATGCGCACTGACGCTCCAAACTGAAAGGTTGCAACTATACAGTATTTGCAAAGAGGCAAAGAACTTTGTAGCACATTTTTATTATAATCATAACTAAGCACTAAAGCCAATTGGGTCATACAGTGCTGCACTTTGTGGCACAAATCTGAAACAATACTGTATTACAATTCATTATAATCAGACCAATATAAGCCAAACACAGCAGCACAAAACCTGTCTCCAAAAATAAAGACAAGTAGTTCTCCAAGGAATATAAAGAAAGAAGAAGTAAAAGCTCATAAAAAGGCTACAACTATGCCACCCAAAAGTTTTTTCCCTAGCCAAAAATATTAATTAAGAAATAGTTCATGTTTGTCATAGAAATAAATAAAAATAAATTCAATAAACTAGAGTTACCCCCTAATGGTGATTATTACCATAATCATGGAGAAGTATTAAACCTTATGGGTTTAGTACTGATCCTATACCTGTTATCTCCAGAGCAATACAGCAATGTTCCTTTACATTGTTATTATTATTATGAGGATACAATAAACCAATAGGAATTTTGTAGCATTTAGGGAATGGAAGATAATCAGGCTTGAAACAGGAAGTGGAGGATAGGTCCAATTCCTTGGATCAAGATACCTTCATTGGCACTGAGGCCCTTTCTATGAAGGGGCTCTCCCCTCTAAATATTTTGTAACAATAAAAGTTATCATTTGCATTCCCCTCAAGGGAGGTGCCTTGTTGCTAGTGAGGAGCTCTTGATCCAAACAACTAGATTTAACCTCCTGTTCCTTGGGTCGACCCTGAATGCGTATCACCATGATTAAAATGAATGATTCCATGCAACTCTGTGGTTCAAGGAAAGATGATGAAATTTTTTTTATACCTAGTTGCCATGGAATTAAACGGAAGGCCATAGCAGTCAGTATTTTTCAAACAAATTATACTTTGTACATGTTAAAAATTACTTTTACCAAAGATCACATGAATAAATTTTCACTTCAATTCACTTATAAATTAAAAAGTTTAAAAAAATCATGAATCTAGTTTCTATATAAATTACTGGTCCACAAATATCAAGTTCTCCTGTGTTATAATATGTACCTTTACTGACTAAATTTAAATACCTCTCCCAAGACCTTACATGTCAACTTTTGCTTCAGGTTGGCAACTTTTTAGAAATTAAAACAAATTTCTTTGTTAAGTGTCACTGAGGCTTAAATATATTTTATGGGAATAACATCAGGAAGAAATTCAAAAGAACTAGGATTGTAAAACATCTATTCCAAGTTGATTGCAATCACCCAGGAACTTCCAAAGAAATAAAATGTACACCACCACCACTGAAAAAAATATTCCAACAATACTGAAATTTAAAGACTTATAACATGTGAAAATTAAATGTATCAAATCCTATTTTCCCCCCTTGAAATCGATATAAAATCACTTATGCTGTAAAACCTCCATTAACTTTAAACAAAATATCCATTTAGATAATTAAAACAAACAAATCATAGAGCTAAGAACATGAGAGTTAATATTACGTAAACAGGATAGCCAAAAGATTGTCAAACTTTGAGAGAATACATTTCCAACACTAACTCAAACACAGTAGTAAGTAGCTACCCCTCTATGGTAAAACTGTCCATGGTCAAGGTTATTTATGTGGCACATTCAACGTATGCACCAACTTTTCCTGAATGCATGCAATAGTAAATTTAGAATGGTCACCAGTTAATCTGCACAATGTCAATTGATTTCGGGCAAGTATACGAGGTTCATCCTGTGCCAGTTTCTAAAGAAAAACAAATTACATTCTACTAACAGTAGGAAATTAAAGAATCACAACACGATGACTGGAGCAATTCAACATTAACGCACAAAGTGCAGACAAAACTGGAGGACATTGTGATGCATTCTGGACCACTTTCAGGCTGCAACTTTGATAATGTCACATTCTGGACCACTTTCAAGCTGCAACTTTGATAATGTTGCATTCTGGACCACTTTCAAGCCGTAGCTTTGACAGCGTTCCAAGATGGATCAAAACGTCTAACTGTCATCCTTAATTTGTGGGTTAACTGTGAGTCAGAGATAACTAAAACTGTGCACATAATTTCTCTTAGTCTACTCTCACAACTTGAGTTCCCTTATTTAAGGCTTTCTAAAAATGATCATGGCACTATCTTTTCAGTACAAAACTTGATATGATTTTAGCTCTGTTAATGCAAAACTAATCAGACGTGGTTAAAATTATCGTCCTGGTTATATCTTATTAAATGGGAAAAATTTCTAATATTTTCCTCTATAAACATTAAACTACACTTATCTATGTAGCTATTATACAGCACACATGTGTGATGGATGAATGTAGATATACAGTGGTACCCTGAGTTTCGAACAGCTCCCAACTCGAACAATTATGTAAGTGTATTTTTGTAAGTGCTTTTGTAAGTGTATTTTTGGGGGTCTGAAATGGACTAATCTAATTTACATTATTATTTATGGGAACAAATTCGTTCGGTATCGGCACTCGAACAGCCTTCTGGAATGAATTAAGTTCGTAACTCGAGGTACCACTGCATTTATGTAAAGAATGTGTGTGTGTGTGTGTGTGTGTGTGTTTGTATATAGTACTGTATATATTAATAATATATTTACATGAATTTATATGTACAAGGGTATTTATGTATATGTATGAATGCATTAAGTTAAATATACCTGGACACGGCCTGATGCCAGACAAGGTAGCACCCGTAGGACTCGAGCACAACCATTCTTTCTTGAATTAAAAAGTACATTTTTACATGATTTATATTACTGTTTATATTATTTTTTAGTGGGATTAACCAAAAAGTACATTTTAATATCTGAATTAAATACAAAATATATTTTCTCACTAGGAACAGTCTACATCAGTAACTAAGAAATGAATATGAGGAATTGACAATAATAAGAGCTCTTTTTTTTTTTTTAATAAAAAAATGCCTTGAAACATGAGATGCAATAAATTAAAAAAAAATTATTTTTACATGCATAACAGCATTTCAAGACTTTTTTTCACTTAAAATATTCAGTTGGTTCTTAAGATAATTTTTTTTAACATGCATAACAGCATTTCAAGGGAGCAAGGGGCTAGTAACCCCTTCTCCTGTATACATTACTAAAGTTAAAGAGAAACTTTTGTTTTTCTCTTTGGGCTACCCTGTCTCGGTGGGATACGGCCAGTTTGTTGAAAGAACAGCAGCATTTCAAGGCTTTTTTTTACCTAAGATATTCAGCTGGTTCATAAAACAATTTTTTATATTTTCACATGCGTAACAGCATTTCAAGGTTTTTTTTACTGAAGATATTCAGCTGGTTCTTAATATTGGCAATGGCTCATATATAAGTGTATATCACAAGCTTGATGTTCACTGTACAATTAAAAAATTCTAGATAAAACAATTTTTGGCTGTGTTGACACATCTAGTGCAGGGAGCCTCACTTTCCCTGTTTGAACATTGATTTAGCGTGCATCTTCACTTACCATTTAGGAAGGTGTGGAGGCCACCGAGCCACTCACACTTGTACATACCGCATGTCTCTTTCTCAGCTTTTGTACTTCCTGTGCCAGTTTGACTGGCCTCTCGAAGAAGTCAACAAGCTTTTCTTCATTAGCCACATTAGCCAAGAATTGTTCAAAGGATATGCTCCACTCCTGAGATGATGGCTGGGACATGGAGGCATGTCTATGCTCCGAACTGCCACAGTCACTTTCGTCAACACTAGCGTTTTGTTCACATTCTTCTGTATTTTTATCTTTTTCTTCCCCAGTATCATTTTTAATTACGTTATGTAACATTTTACTGTTTTTGCCTGTATCACATGGCACAGCACTAGTATTTTCAGAGTCTGGGGATTCTTCTGTACTTTGCAATGCTTGCTCACTTTCCTCTGTCGTACAATTACCCGAGCCCAAACACTCTTCTAATGCACCTCTCATCTCCTCCAACTGGAACACATTTTCTGAGGATTGTTCTCCAGGAAGTCTTGCCTGCTAGTGAGAGATAAAATATTCTATTAGAAAAACAATTTAATCCCTCTCTGAATAACATGTCTAATCACTATCTAGTTTGAGAGATGAGAATTGCCATCATGTATGGTACACACTATTGTGCACCAAAACAAAAGTCTAAATAAAACTTGTTCTGCATATACTGTAATATAATTTTACCATACTATCTACTGTATCTTCATCCAGTGTAATGCTTGCTTCTATTCACAAATTACTCACTGTTAAAAAATGAAACTTATGGGGACATTTTGGTTCATCCTGGACCATTTTAAAGTGTAGTCAATTGTGGTTTCACAATGGTTCAGAAAAGACCAAAACATCATGAAAAATTTCCTTTTCTAAGTGCAGGTTATTAGTGAATTGTTCTGACAAAATTCTTGACTCAAACTGGTACTTAAATCACTCCACAAGTACCTGCCTTCAAGTTGTCCCTCGGATACTTTAACACCCATTTTACAACTTTTAAATTAAAAAAAAATTATGTACTGTACTTAAAACTTCCCTTTCCACGTCATTCTCTTACCTCTTTCAAAAGCTGCTACCTTTATTAGCATCTACCAACAATTTCTTCCTTTTCAAACCTGAAATTCCACCCACGCTATCTGACCATCAGTAAACCCAACATACTTTCTCAACTTAGTTCCTTAATTTCCAGCCAAGGCCTATAGCTTCACTCTGTATTTAAGACAATGAACAGCTGTGGTCATATTGATATATTTTTTTTCCCTCAAGGTTCAGCACCAAATGTATTTCTCAAAAATGCAATGAAACCCTTTTTTCTTACCGCTTTACCCATTTCCCAGCAAAGTTCGAGTGTTTAAAAGGACACACATTCACCATCACTCATTCAATGGTAGGCTGCCGGAAGTGCACAGACATCAATATTAAAATAAAAATTTGAACACTAAATGCAGCAGCAGCCAACTTACGCTTTCACTGTTGGATCTGGATGCAATTTCTTTGACTCGTCGTCCAACTTCACCAATCTGCAGCAGCAATGTTCCTTGAACATGAACAACTTTGTTAATACCAAAATTAGCTTCATTATTACTAAGCATCTTTTTATTGTCTGACCCACTATGAATCATTATTATGAAGTAAGCAATAACATAATTTCACTTACAAACATAACTTACCAACTCTAGAGAGTGATGTAAAGATTTCCTGGTTGGTTTCCATTGCAAAGAAGCTGTAGACAGTGCGCCACATATTGATAAACTGCTCTTGGGTCATGGTGGGCAAGAACCGCTGTTCAAATAATCTGTAGTCACGGCTGTGGATGGTCGCTAACCCTGTGAAGTCATCACAGTATTCTGAAAACCAACATTATGTCCTAAGTGTATTATTGGTCTCATGGAAAAACTATAACTCATACTTGGAGTTAAATAAAGCAAAGTTGAAAGTCAGTCCAGCCTATGTTATTAAGTCTTTCACAGAATAATGTACAGTATAATCTAATAACCTAACACTCTGGATCCACCTCTCTTATATTATTACATGTACCAACAATCCAGTTTAAATCCCACAAGCATTCTAAAATTTAACATGATCTTTTTTCCCACCGAGGTTGTATGATCCCCCCCCCCCCATGAATGAATGACAGTGAAAGTTTTTCCTTGTTATTGGTTATCCAACCTTGGCAGAAAACAGCCAATTTGGTAAAAAAAAAAAAATACATACCAAAGCTTTCAATGAAGCTAAAGTACTTCCACTGCATGTACCATAGGCCACACAACAGTACTGATGATGTAGGGGTATGGGAGAGGGTATAGGATTGGTCTGGTGTAATGGAGGGATAGATGCCCCCTCAACTTACGAACAAGTTACGTCCTTTGCGAAGAAGTGTCCCTCAATACAAAGAAACTGGGAAAACTGGGTAATGCTAATACTATAATATAAAAAATTGGTATGCAAAGGCGAAAATATTGCAAAGACACGAAGTGTTTTCCATCAGTAAAATTTTCTATTCAAGTGAACGAGACAGAAAGAAATGCAGAAAGTACTACGTATATTGCAATTATACATATACAGACGCACCTTTTTTAGGAGAGGTGCCAGAAGTTTCTGCATCTTGATCATCTGATATATCTAGATCCACTTTGCCTTTTCCATAGTCCTCATCTAGGTAATCAAAGTACTCTTCTGCCTCTACTGCTGCTTCCTCTTCCACTTCAGCTGCTGAACATAAAGCAGACATTCCAGGTCAGTCAAAACTAAGACCTCCATCAATTCCTCAACTAAGACCTCATCACTGCCCACATCTTGGAAGACTGTAGTTCAACTGAACTTTTATTTGTGAAACAATCCCCAAAATTTAGTTACCTTATACAGTATTTCCAATTTTTCACTTCTGAAGACACCAAGGTAACACTAACAATCAGTAAAATTCTTCAGGAATTATTTAACCCTTTGAGGGTCCAAGCATAGATCTACGCCTTGTCCACAGGGTCCAGGAATTAAAAAAAAAAATTATTTTTTCTTATGAAATAGTAGAGAATCTTTTTCTAAAGGTAATAAAACAAAAAATACAAAATTTGATGGAAAACTGATGAAATTACACTATTGCGGATTTTACTGCAACAGCGATATTTACGCACTGGTGATTTTGCCCACTTTGACTTCTATTTTAGGCCAATTACATTATTCCAGTTGACCAAATTCTTTGCTATTTCTCTAGTATTACTTCTGTTTTATCGACTGAGCACAAGAAACTGCCCAATCAATTAGTATTTCAACTATCCAAACAAGTGATTGGAAATTGGTAATTTGGCCAATTTCCATCAAAGTTCAAAATACGTATTCCAATTTCAAAATAGGGTCCAGAATAAACAATGCAGGCATTCCTGGCACTAAAATAACATTTCCTCTGTTTGTCAGTTATGTTTCCAGGAGTTACAGATGAATTCCACATTGATTTTTTATTTACATAGAAGAATTTCTGTTCACACCCAAAAATAGAAGATTTACTGTTATGCGATATTGCAATAATTGTATAAATAATATCAGCGCATTCATGAAGATATATTAGATCCACTAGCTGAGGTGTATTGGACGTGTGACGTCTTGAACATCGGCAAAAATCGAACATTTCCACTAATTTGAGCTCAATTTCAAGCTATTTTCAGTGCTAAAACCAATCAAAATCGTCTCTATTTCTGTAATATATCTTTCATTTTATCAGACCAAAAAAACATGCATACAACCGTAAAAAACATACAAAAATACACCACAAAGTTACTGTTTTAATGCAAAAACACGGTCATTTTTTTTCTCATCCACTGTGTGCTGCAGGATTTGTTTTATATGGTGCACACTTACCATGTACATCCATTCTCTCATATCAAGGGCCAAATTTACCGCTCACAGCTTATCTGAGCGAGCTGAACTCGTGGCATAAAACTACAGCTTGGACCCAAGCTTCAAAGCTGCAGAAATGTAGGACGGACCCTCAAAGGGTTAAAATAGTAGGCCTCTCAATGCCTGCTTTTATTTAGATATATAAATATACAGAAAGAATGGGCATTACATTTGAAAAATAAACTCATCAGAAGAACTATAGCAAGAGAAATAAGATGACAACTACTTGAATAATGACGGTACCAGTGTATATTATACACACATTTAGGACAGACCTAGGTAGTAGGTTGGTAGACAACAACCGCCCAGGGAGGTACTACCATTCTGCCAAGTGAGTGTAAAATGGAAACCTGTAATTGTTTTACATGATGGTAGGATTGCTGGTGTCTTTTTTCTGTCTCATAAACATGCAAGATTTCAGGTATGTCTCGCTACTTCTACTTACACTTAGGTCACACTACACATACATGTACAAGCATATATATACACACCCCTCTGGGTTTTCTTCTATTTTCTTTCTAGTTCTTGTTCTTGTTTATTTTCTCTTATCTCCATGGGGAAGTGGAACAGAATTCTTCCTCCGTAAGCCATGCGTGTTGTAAGAGGCAACTAAAATGCCGGGGGCAAGGGGGTAATAACCCCTTCTCTTGTATAAATTACTAAATTTAAAAAGAGAAACTTTCGTTTTTCTTTTTGGGCCACCCTGCCTTGGTGGGATATGGCCAGTTTGTTGAAAAAAAAAATTAGGACAGACCTAGGTAGTAGGTTGGTAGACAGCAACCACCCAGGGAGGTACTACCGTCCAGCTAAGTGACAGTAGGATTGCTGGTGTCTTTTTTTCGACCTCAAACATGTGGGATAATGGACATATCTTGCTATTTACACTTAGATCACACTACACATATATGTACATGCATATATATTTACAAACACTCATCTGGGTTTTTTCTGCTTTTTTAATAGTTCTTGTTCTTCTGTATATCCTCTTATCTCTAGGTGAAAGTGGAAAAGAAGTCTTCCTCTGTAAGCCATGTTTGTCATAAATGGGGGCTAAAATGCTGGGAGCAATGGGCTAGTAACCCTTTCTCCTGTATGAATTACTAAATTTAAAAAGAAAAACTTTCATTTTTCTTTTTGGGTCACCCTGCTTCAGTGGGATGTGGCCAGTGTGTTAAAGAAAAAAAAAGAGGACATTCAATGATACCTTGAAGAGATTGATTCTCCACTATACTTACTGTGCATTTTCATTCCCTTGTATCATTTGGAGTGACCAAGGGCCCAGGACTAATGCATATCCAGTAAAGATGTTATATTGTAAGTGCATTTTCATCCTTTCATCCATAAAATAAATTACCAGTATCTGAACAAATTAATTTTCTTACCGTTTTCTTATTTTTAAGTGGCCTATCCACATCCTCCAGGCTTGGGGAAAATGCCAAATGCAAGTTGTAAAACAACCTCAGCTTGCAAGGTTAGTATCTGAACAAATTAGTTTTCTTACCATTTTCCTCATTTTTAAGTGGCTTATCCACATCCTCCAGACTTGGGGGAAATGCTAAATGCAAGTAGTAAAACAACCTCAGCTTGCGAGCAAAGTCTCCACTACATAGAACTCCATAGAGCCACGCAACAGACCGAAAGCTCAATACATGCGTTCCATCAACATCCAGCATCTGTCCAGGAGAAAATGAGGGCAGGTTAATATACAATTCATTGAGTAGCAGAGTTCAGACAGGCACAACAAAACCAATTTGAAAATATAAATCCTAAACTGATTATTATATACAGGTGGGCCCTGCTTATACAGCAGTTTAGGTTCTGGGCTACCACTGTAAAGTGAAACACAGCCCTTTTTCACTTTCAAATGCATATAAAAGCATATAGATGGGGAGATGGAGGTATTAGGTAGATGGCGAGAATATTTTGAGGAACTTTTAAATGTTAAGGAAGAAAGAGAGGCAGTAACTTCATGCACTGGTCAGGGAGGTATACCATCTTTTAGGAGTGAAGAAGAGCAGAATATAAGTGTGGGGGAGGTATGTGAGGCATTACGTAGAATGAAAGGGGGTAAAGCAGCTGGAACTGATGGGATCATGACAGAAATGTTAAAAGCAGGGGGGGATATAGTGTTGGAGTGGTTGGTACTTTTGTTTAATAAATGTATGAAAGAGGGGAAGGTACCTAGGGATTGGCAGAGAGCATGTATAGTCCCCTTATATAAAGGGAAAGGGGACAAAAGAGATTGTAAAAATTATAGAGGAATAAGTTTACTGAGTATACCAGGAAAAGTGTACGGTAGGGTTATAATTGAAAGAATTAGAGGCAAGACAGAATGTAGGATTGCGGATGAGCAAGGAGGTTTCAGAGTGGGTAGGGGATGTGTAGATCAAGTGTTTACATTGAAGCATATATGTGAACAGTATTTAGATAAAGGTAGGAAAGTTTTTATTGCATTTATCGATTTAGAAAAGGCATATGATAGAGTGGATAGAGGAGCAATGTGGCAGATGTTGCAAGTATATGGAATAGGTGGTAAGTTATTAAATGCTGTAAAGAGTTTTTATGAGGATAGTGAGGCTCAGGTTAGGGTGTGTAGAAGAGAGGGAGACTACTTCCCGGTAAAAGTAGGTCTTAGACAGGGATGTGTAATGTCACCATGGTTGTTTAATATATTTATAGATGGGGTTGTAAAGGAAGTAAATGCTAGGGTGTTCGGGAGAGGGGTGGGATTAAATTTTGGGGAATCAAATTCAAAATGGGAATTGACACAGTTACTTTTTGCTGATGATGCTGTGCTTATGGGAGATTCTAAAGAAAAATTGCAAAGGTTAGTGGATGAGTTTGGGAATGTGTGTAAAGGTAGAAAGTTGAAAGTGAACATAGAAAAGAGTAAGGTGATGAGGGTGTCAAATGATTTAGATAAAGAAAAATTGGATATTAAATTGGGGAGGAGGAGTATGGAAGAAGTGAATGTTTTCAGATACTTGGGAGTTGACGTGTCGGCGGATGGATTTATGAAGGATGAGGTTAATCATAGAATTGATGAGGGAAAAAAGGTGAGTGGTGCGTTGAGGTATATGTGGAGTCAAAAAACGTTATCTATGGAGGCAAAGAAGGGAATGTATAAAGTATAGTAGTACCAACACTCTTATATGGGTGTGAAGCTTGGGTGGTAAATGCAGCAGCGAGAAGACGGTTGGAGGCAGTGATGTCCTGTTTAAGGGCAATGTGTGGTGTAAATATTATGCAGAAAATTCAGAGTGTGGAAATTAGGAAAAGGTGTGGAGTTAATAAAAGTATTAGTCAGAGGGCAGAAGAGGGGTTGTTGAGGTGGTTTGGTCATTTAGAGAGAATGGATCAAAGTAGAATGACATGGAAAGCATATAAATCTATAGGGAAAGGAAGGCGGGGTAGGGGTTGTCCTCGAAAGGGTTGGAGAGAGGGGGTAAAGGAGGTTTTGTGGGCAAGGGGCTTGGACTTCCAGCAAGCATGTGTGAGCGTGTTAGATAGGAGTGAATGGAGACGAATGGTACTTGGGACCTGATGATCTGTTGGTGTGTGAGCAGGGTAATATTTAATGAAGGGATTCAGGGAAACCGGTTATGTTCATATAGTCGGTCTTGAGTCCTGGAAATGGGAAGTACAATGCCTGCACTTTAAAGGAGGGGTTTGGGATATTGGCAGTTTGGAGGGATATGTTGTGTATCTTTATATGTGTATGCTTCTAAACTGTTGTATTCTGAGCACCTCTGCAAAAACAGTGATAATGTGCGAGTGTGGTGAAAGTGTTGAATGATGATGAAAGTATTTTCTTTTTGGGGATTTTCTTTCTTTTTTGGGTAACCCTGCCTCGGTGGGAGACGGCCGACTTGTTGAAAAAAAAAAAAAAAAAGCCTGATAGCATGTTTACATTATCATATATTTAATGAGTAATAGAGCTAGGCCTAAAAAATGCACATACAGTACACACATTACTTACCTTAAAATATTTTCGTCCTTAGCTTATAGTAAGTGGTGAATATATTTATTGTAGGAAGTCTGGATAAATGAAGAATGGTTATAATTAACAACTGCTGTATTATTGAAATGCTGTACATGGGGCACTCTAAACCGATAGAGGTCCTACAGCATCAGGAAAATAAGAGGTTATCATGTTTGATCCAAGACAGGAGAGGGGCAGCTACAACTCCTTGGATCAAGGCACTCCTAATGAAAGGTGAACCATGATTATATAATTAGGTTCCATGTGATCTAGGAATATCAGAAAATGGGTATTCATTGCTGCAACGTTTTATTTATTTCTCAATTTCAAGGTTTTTTGATATTACAGTATTACTATTAAAATACAGTACAGTACTAAATACAGGGGAATCTCAAACTGACAAACATCCCACGAGTTATGTGAATGAAGCAGTTAGGAACTCATTAATAAACGTGTGTAACAATCATCGTTATACTGTTTTATATAGGAAAAGCAGCTGTGCATAACACAACTGTTTTTCTTATATAGAACAGTATATATTACAGCTTGTTTTTAAGTTAGGGACCCCCCATATTTGAATCATCTTCACCTTTTCGAAAACATGTGTTCAGTGCATTCACTAATAATCATTCCTTATGAATTATTTGGTCAACAAACTTGAAACAAATTTTCCTGGAACTGAATAAATATTGACCATGAGTTAAAACATTTCCTCATTGTGATAATTCAAAACATGATTCAAATATATTTTTTTACAAAACATTCTCTAATGGAGTCTATATGTCAGAAAAGACTGAGAAGAGTAACTAACATTGAAGATACTCGTCACAAGGGATTCTGAACGGTCGCCCTGACCCCATGGTGAGACAGCCAAAAAGAGCTGACGAAATGTTTCGTATCCAAGAGCATAGCCTTCCTGGGTCAGAGGATTCCCAGAATTGTTACGCTGGCGAACTTCCTTGTCTTCTCCTCCCAAGATCTGTTCTCCACGGACATAGATGACAAGTTCCTGAAAAAATCCTAAGGGTTAGAATATTTAATTTCCTTCTCTTTCTAAGAATTAAGAGTTTTTATCCTCTATTAAAGTTTCCCATCCTTAGGCATATTAACAATATATTAAAAAATAAACTACAGTATTGCTGGCAAAGATATCTGTATATCAAGTCCTGTACTTTTAAGTGTAAACTATTTTTTTAATCATGTATAAACATTTTAACCACCACACCTATGCTACATGTGGTGTTCTGTGAATACCCACTAAATCAACGCATTTTCTGCAACCTCTCTATTTGTCCATTTATAAAATACAACACACACTTCTTTTTTTTTTTTTTTTAATTTTCTCAGTGAGTAAAAAGAAAAAAAAAGGATTGTAGATACTTATAGCAAAGACACTTTCATGAAGAGACTAACATTTCATCCACTGGAGGCTTTTTCAAAGGATGAAACATTGTCAATATAAAAGGTTCCTAACTGTGTCTTTCTACTAACACTTGCAGACTCACACTTATTATTCCATACAAAACAAAAAAAAAAAGAAATCTTATTTTTTTTAACATAGCAGTTATCTCCCACCAAGGCAAGGTGACTCAAAAAAGAAAAAACTATAAATTTTTCATCTTTTTACATTTAGTAATTTATACAGAAGGGATTACTAGCCCCTTGCTATACACTACCATGGATAACTAAAGTATAATGAACACTTGTCAATGGTCAATAATAACCTACCATATTCAACATTAGGTCCTCAAAATCTAGGAGTTTTGTGCTTATAGAATAATGTACTGAAAATCTGCATGAAGAAAGAACATACTGTGGAAATCATGAGTGATAAGTATAGGTTTTTAGTTTACTAATAAACATTTGCAAAAAGACATAAGAGCAAAGTGCTCACCTTAAGGTCTTCCTCAGACAAAATACAGTCAGGACCAACAGTGCGTAAGGTATTTCTCATAACAGTGTCTTCCAGTGTTTGAACAACTCGGAGACGGTGCTTCACCCGAAGTCGCTCAATAGCAACATTGGTGATAAATCCAAAACCTCTATATGCAGCTTCTATAATGTCAATAATGTTTACCATAGTCTGGAAATATAAATGAAATATAAAACTATGGAAGACTATAGCTAAGTGCTATAGTTATGAGCTTATGCATACAAATTACTGTCATCACTTATAAGATGCTTATATTAAAGGCAAAGGGGACAAAAGAGAGTGCAAAAATTATAGGGGGATAAGTCTGTTGAGTGTACCTGGTAAAGTGTATGGTAGAGTTATAATTGAAAGAATTAAGAGTAAGACGGAGAATAGGATAGCAGATGAACAAGGAGGCTTTAGGAAAGGTAGGGGGTGTGTGGACCAGGTGTTTACAGTGAAACATATAAGTGAACAGTATTTAGATAAGGCTAAAGAGGTCTTTGTGGCATTTATGGATTTGGAAAAGGCGTATGACAGGGTGGATAGGGGGGCAATGTGGCAGATGTTGCAAGTGTATGGTGTAGGAGGTAGGTTACTGAAAGCAGTGAAGAGTTTTTACGAGGATAGTGAGGCTCAAGTTAGAGTATGTAGGAAAGAGGGAAATTTTTTCCCAGTAAAAGTAGGCCTTAGACAAGGATGTGTGATGTCACCGTGGTTGTTTAATATATTTATAGATGGGGTTGTAAGAGAAGTAAATGCGAGGGTCTTGGCAAGAGGCGTGGAGTTAAAAGATAAAGAATCACACACAAAGTGGGAGTTGTCACAGCTGCTCTTTGCTGATGACACTGTGCTCTTGGGAGATTCTGAAGAGAAGTTGCAGAGATTGGTGGATGAATTTGGTAGGGTGTGCAAAAGAAGAAAATTAAAGGTGAATATAGGAAAGAGTAAGGTTATGAGGATAACAAAAAGATTAGGTGATGAAAGATTGAATATCAGATTGGAGGGAGAGAGTATGGAGGAGGTGAACGTATTCAGATATTTGGGAGTGGACGTGTCAGCGGATGGGTCTATGAAAGATGAGGTGAATCATAGAATTGATGAGGGAAAAAGAGTGAGTGGTGCACTTAGGAGTCTGTGGAGACAAAGAACTTTGTCCTTGGAGGCAAAGAGGGGAATGTATGAGAGTATAGTTTTACCAACGCTCTTATATGGGTGTGAAGCGTGGGTGATGAATGTTGCAGCGAGGAGAAGGCTGGAGGCAGTGGAGATGTCGTGTCTGAGGGCAATGTGTGGTGTGAATATAATGCAGAGAATTCGTAGTTTGGAAGTTAGGAGGAGGTGCGGGATTACCAAACTGTTGTCCAGAGGGCTGAGGAAGGGTTGTTGAGGTGGTTCGGACATGTAGAGAGAATGGAGCGAAACAGAATGACTTCAAGAGTGTATCAGTCTGTAGTGGAAGGAAGGCGGGGTAGGGGTCGGCCTAGGAAGGGTTGGAGGGAGGGGGTAAAGGAGGTTTTGTGTGCGAGGGGCTTGGACTTCCAGCAGGCATGCGTGAGCGTGTTTGATAGGAGTGAATGGAGACAAATGGTTTTTAATACTTGACGTGCTGTTGGAGTGTGAGCAAAGTAACATTTATGAAGGGATTCAGGGAAACCGGCAGGCCGGACTTGAGTCCTGGAGATGGGAAGTACAGTGCCTGCACTCTGAAGGAGGGGTGTTAATGTTGCAGTTTAAAAACTGTAGTGTAAAGCACCCTTCTGGCAAGACAGTGATGGAGTGAATGATGGTGAAAGTTTTTCTTTTTCGGGCCACCCTGCCTTGGTGGGAATCGGCCAGTGTGATAATAATAATAATAAAATTAAAGGCATAATGTGCATTTAATAAGAAAATGTATCTTGAATATACACAAAAAGAAAGAGGTTTTTGAACTTTTGCCACATTACTTCCCTATCCACCCCATTATATGCTTTTTCTAAATCTGTAAATGCAACAAACAGCTCCTTAACTTTACCTATATGCTTTGATGTAAACACTTGGTCTACATTATTATTATTTTATTATTAACACACTGGCTGATTCCCACCAAGGCAGGGTGGCCCGAAAAAGAAAAACTTTCACCATCATTCACTCCATCACTGTCTTGCCAGAAGGGTGCTTTACACTACAGTTTTTAAACTGCAACATTAACACCCCTCCTTCCTTGGTCTACATGTTCCCTTTTTTTTTTAAGACACCAGCCATCTCCCACTGCAATATCTCCACCCCTCCTTCAGAGTGCAAGCAATGTATTTTCCACTTCAGGACTCAAGTCCAGCTAACCAGTTTCCCTGAAACCCCCTTCGTAAATATCACCTTATTCATACTCCAACAGTATTTTTTTTTTTCAACAAACTGGCCGTATCCCACCAAGGCAGGGTGGCCCCAAAAAAAAAACAAAGTTTCTCTTTTTAAATTTAGTAATTTATACAGGAGAAAGGGTTACTAGCCCCTTGCTCCTGGCATTTTAGTTGCCTCTTACAACACGCATGGCTTACGGAGGAAGAATTCTGTTCCACTTCCCCACGGAGATTAGAGGAAATAAACAAGAACTAGAAAGAAAATAGCAGAAAACCCAGAGGGGTGTGTGTATATATATACTTGTACATGTATGTGTAATGTGACCTAAGTGTAAGTAGAAGTAGCAAGACATACCTGAAATCTTGCATGTTTGAGAGACAGAAAAAAGGACGCAAGCAATCCTACCATCCAACAGTATGTCATCATAAAAATCCCTTAGCCCCACTAACTCACAGGTTAAAACCCAAGATCAGAGAGTCATAAAACTCCAGACTGATGCGTTAGCCACTGGGCAAGCTAGCTACAATAAGATTCATCCAACTAGGTATATTTATACACCATAGGAAGGTTAGCACAGGCACCACTGTGACCACAAATACAAGTTTTTACAGACAAATCTCTTGCTAGCATGGCCCTGATGAACTCTAGCTCAAGTCCCCTCAAAGCCATCAACATGACTCGCATCTATAAAAAATTGCAATTGTGGTCACAGTGGTGCCTATGCTAACCCTCCTATGGTGTATAAATACAGTGGACCCCCGGTTCGCGAAGTCATCGGTATCTGATAAATCCGGTATCCGAAGCATTATATCGCAAAAAATTTGCCTCGGTTCCCGTTACAAAACCCGGTATGCGATACGATTCGTACGAGACGTGTCCACGTGTGGCCTGAACTGCCCCGTGTGTGCCAGTGTTTACAAGCCAGCCAGTGTGCGCGCATCTAAGGATACATTCGGTACATTCCATATTATCCATATTATCACTGTTTTTGGTGCTTGTTTCTGCAAAATAAGTCACCATGGGCCCCAAGAAAGCTTCTAGTGCCAACCCATCGAGACCAAGGGTGTTAATGACTATTGAAATGAAGAAAGAGATAATTGGAGTGGAGTGCATGTGTTGGACCTGGCCAAGTTGTATAGTAAATCCCAATCAACCATCTCTACTATAGTGAGCAGGAAAACGGCAATCAAGGAAGCTATTCTTGCAAAAGGTGCAACTGTGATTACAAAACAGCGATTCCCCTTCTAAACATTAAAAACTTCGACACTCTCCCCTCCTCCCATCCCATCAATCATCACCAGATCTTCATTAAGGTAAGTGTCAATTATTCTATTGTGATTATTCTATTGTTATTATTGTTATTGTAATTATTCTATTGCATTAAACTTAATATTTCATGTGGTAAAAGTTTTTTTTTTTTCATACTTTTGGGTGTCTTGCACGGATTAATTTGATTTCCATTATTTCTTATGGGGAAAATTGACTCGCTTTCTGATAATTTTGCTTTACGATGAGCTCTCAGGAACGGATTAATAACGTGAACCGGGGGTCCACTGTATACCTAGTTGGATGAATCTTATTGTAGCTAGCTGGCCCAGTGGCTAACGCATCGGTCTGGAGTTTTATGACTCTCCGATTGCGGGTTCTAACCCCGCCCGTGGTATGGTTCGTTTGCAATCGTGTCATTACGATTTTGTGAGTCCTATATAACATGCCTGCACAAGCCTGTTGGATGTCCAAGTCCCCTTGCAAGAAACCTTTATTACCCTTCCTCCAACCTTTCCTGGGACAACCCCTACCCCTCCTTCCCTCCATTACTATTTTGCTCCATCCTCTCTAGATGTCCAGATCACCTTAACAACCGCTCCTCAGCCCTCTGGATAATACTTTTAATAACCCTACAACTCCTCCTAACCTCCAAACTATGAATTCTCTGAACAATGTGTATTCACACCACACACTGCCCTCAGATATGACATCTCTACTGCATCTAGCCTCCTCACTGTAATGTTAAAACCTATGGTTCACACTCACATAAGAATATTGGTACCATTATAAACTGATACATTCCCCTTTTTGCCTCCATGGATAAGGTTGTCTTCACAGGTGCCTCAATGCACCATCCACCTTCATTCCTCCTCAGTTCTATGGTTCACCTTATCATCCATCCACTGACAAGTTCACTCCCAAATAGCTGAAAGAATTAACTTCCTCCTTGCTCCTCTGAAATCCTACTTTCTATCTTACTCCTAACTTTCTTGCTAATACTGTAATTCTAATATACCCTTTACCCAGTATCCTTAAGCTTATTCTCTATAATTCTTACATTTTTGTCCCCTTTTCTCTTATCCAAAGGAACTATGCATTTGCACTGCCAATCCCCAGGTAACTTTCCTTCTATCATGCATATACTGAACAAATACACCAACTGCTCCAACTATATACCCATCTGTTTTTAACATGTTAGTTTTAATCCCATCTGTCCTAGCTACTGTACTCCCTTTCATTCTATTTACTCCCTCATGCACTTCCCTCACAAATGCACATACATGTATCAGTGTTCTGCCAAGTCCATACTTTATTCCAAGTAAAAAAAAATGAAATTACTGATACCCTTAATTCAGAAGACTCTGCCTGTTTATCTTCACAGACACTTGATTTGCGTTTTCCATATCGACACTTGGGAGTGTTGATACATCCCAGATAATCAGCCAGAACCATCATAGCTTCTCCCTCATCATCACAATCTGTAAAAACAATAGCAAAGCAAACATTAAGAAAATAACTGGACATACACACATCATGGTTATCAAAATATTATGTTCAGGACACAAATGGTGGCCATACAGGGTCAGGGTTTGTGTATATTTGCAACATTACATTTGGTACACAAATAACCCGCACATAGAAGAGAGGAGCTTATGACAACGTTTCGGTCTGACTTGGACCACATACAAAGTCACACTAACGAAAAGGAGAGCAGGATGGGTATATATAGGCAGGAGGTGGTGGTGGTGGTGGTGGTGGTAGTAGTAGTAGTAGTAGTAGTAGTAGTAGTAGTAGTAGTAGTAGTAGTAGTAGTAGTAGTAGTAGTAGTAGTATAGTAGTAGTAGTAGTAGTAGTATAGTAGTAGTAGTAGTATAGTAGTAGTAGTAGTATAGTAGTAGTAGTAGTATAGTAGTAGTAGTAGTATAGTAGTAGTAGTATAGTAGTAGTAGTAGTATAGTAGTAGTAGTAGTGTAGTTTGTAAATAGTATAGTAGTAGTAGTAGTATAGTAGTAGTAGTAGTAGTATAGTAGTAGTAGTAGTATAGTAGTAGTATAGTAGCAGTAGTAGTAGTAGTATAGTAGTAGTAGTAGTAGTAGTATAGTAGTAGTAGTATAGTAGTAGTAGTATAGTAGTAGTAGTATAGTAGTAGTAGTAGTAGTAGTAGCCAGTCAAATACGTACTAAGAAAGAGGAGCACTGCAAGGGAGCTAGGTGCCCACAGAGGGTAAGCGCAAGAACACCAAGGGGGAGAGGAAAAACAAATAAATAAATAAAGAAGGAACAAATACACAGGGCAGAAGAAAGACAACCCAAAGGAGAAAAAAGGAAAGAGGAAAGGGGAAGAGGGACAAGAAGAAAAAAGGAGGAATCAGGTTAGGTCACAAGTGTTCTGAAGTTTGGAACATTTTATAATGTAGTGGGAGAGGAAGGCATCTACAGAGACAAAGCCGGGACTAAGATTCATACAAGGCAAGTTGTGTATTAGGGAGGATTCAACCAGGCAGTGACTGTTAAAGTTGGAAGTAGGGAAGACAGTTTTAGCAGAAGACTAGTCAATAGGATGGATGTGGTCTCTGACATGGCAAGCCTAACACTATTTTTGTGCTCCCTAAGTCTGTCAGAAAGAAATTGACCAGTTTCTCCAAAGTATTGAAGAGGACAGGAGGAACAAGAAATAGAGTAGACACCAGGAGCATCTGTAGGAGGAGAGGTATGAACGAGATTAGTGCGAAGAGTGCTAGTTTGGCAGAAAGTAAGTTTGATGTCTAAGGAACGGAGAGAGTTGTTGAGATTAGAAAGATTGGAAGTGTAGGGAAGGCAGAGGACAGAAGAGTTCCCAGGAGTAGAGAGTTTGGGAGAGAAGAAATTACGTTTAGCACGTGAGAAGGCAGAGTCTGTGAAATGAGAAGGGTAGCCAAGACGGGAACACGTGACCTAACCTGATTCCTTTTTTCTTCTTCTCCCTCTTCCCCTTTTCTCTTTCCTTTTTCTCCTTTGGGTTGTCTTTCTTCTGCACTGTGTATTTGTTCCTTCTTTATTTATTTATTTGTTTTTCCCCCCCTCGGTGTTCTTGCTCTTACCCTCTGTGGGCACCTAGCTCCCTTGCAGTGCTCCTCTTTCTTAATATTTGACTGGCCCCTCCTACACTTATTACCTTCCCACTACTACTTCCTTCCCTCCAGTACCACCACTACTACTACTACTACTACCACCACCTCCTGCCTATATATACCCATCCTGCTCTCCTTATCATTAATGTGACTTTGTAAATGGTCCAAGTCGGACCAAAACGTCGTCGTAAGCTCCTCTCTTCTATTTGTGGGTTATTTGTGTATCGTTCCAGTCATGGTATTGTGCCTTTTTTGTTAATTACATTTGGTACATCTACTACACACTGTTCTTTTTAATTCCAGATTTTTTCCTTCTCTCTTTTCTCTGTTTCTCTTTTTACATTTAGTAATTTTTACAGGAGAAAGAAGGGGTTATAATCCCTTCCTCCCAGCATTTTAGTCACCTCTTACAACACATGGTTAATGGAGGAAGGATTCTTCTCCACTCTTCCATGGAGGTTTAATTTTATATACTATATACTATATATGATTACTGCATCACTGATTTTGAGATAGATACCAGGAAAAGAAAATGTATCCTTATGGAACTGTCAAACCAGGAAGTAAAATTTTAATATTTTAGTGGCTCCTCTGCAAGATGTTAACAACTGTTTTCATAAAAAATCATGAAACCATCCCTATTATATTCATGGAGAAGCACTAAATCCACAGTGCTTGGGAATGGAGGCTAATTATGTATAACTTGAGGAAGGGGAAGATAGCTCCAATTCACTGGATCAAGATCCCTTTACTAGCATCAAGACATCTCCCTTGAAAGACCCTTACTCTCTAGCTGCCTCTCTAGAAGGACACAAGGCAGTAAGGTTGTGCTCACCACCAGACCTACAACCTCAGCAACCTACTACACTTCCTAGCTTCCAGAGCTCAGATGCAGTCAATCAGTTTCCCCAAGTCACTGCACAGTTATTAGCTTACTTACATTCCACAAGAATATGCAATCCCATAGACCACTCGCCTCCACTCACTCCAATCTAATACTCATATATGACTTTCAATTCATCGCATTTGGCTTAGTATGATAGTTAATTTTGATGTAATGGGTTTGTTGATACCTAGAGCATTATGGTTTGAAGTGTTGCTGCCCAAGATCAAACCCCTACTAGTAGGCCCTCCCACTCATGATCGGTTCTTAGAAAAGTTTTCGAATCTTGTCCACATTTAATTGTTATTTTTTTTTTTATTAACACACTGGCCGATTCCCACCAAGGCAGGGTGGCCCGAAAAAGAAAAACTTTCACCATAATTCACTCCATCACTGTCTTGCCAGAAGGGTGCTTTACACTACAGTTTTTAAACTGCAACATTAACACCCCTCCTTCAGAGTGCAGGCACTGTACTTCCCATCTCCAGGACTCAAGTCCGGCCTGCCGGTTTCCCTGAATCCCTTCATAAATGTTACTTTGTTCACACTCCAAGAGCATGTCAAGTATTAAAAATCATTTGTCTCCATTCACTCCTATCAAACATGCTCACGCATGCCCGCTGGAAGTCCAAGCCCCTCGCACACAAAACCTCCTTTACCCTCTCCCTCCAACCTTTCCTAGGCCGACCCCTACCCCGCCTTCCTTCCACTACAGACTGATACACTCTTGAAGTCACTCTGTTTCGCTCCAATCTCTCTACATGTCCGAACCACCTCAACAACCTTTCCTAACCCTCTGGACAACAGTTTTGGCAATCCCGCACCTCCTCCTAACTTCCAAACTACGAATTCTCTGCATTATATTCACACCACACATTGCCCTCAGACATGACATCTCCACTGCCTCCAGCCTTCTCCTTGCTGCAATATTCATCACCCATGCTTCACACCCATATAAGAGCGTTGGTAAAAACTATACTCTCATACATCCCCCTCTTTGCCTCCAAGGACAAAGTTCTTTGTCTCCACAGACTCCTAAGTGCACCGCTCACCCTTTTTCCCTCATCAATTCTGATTAACCTCATCTTTCATAGACCCATCCGCTGACACGTCCACTCCCAAATATCTGAATACATTCACCTCCTCCATACTCTCTCCCTCCAATCTGATATCCAATCTTTCATCACCTAATCTTTTTGTTATCATCCTCATAACCTTACTCTTTCCTATATTCACTTTTAATTTTCTTCTTTTCCATACCCTACCAAATTCATCCACCAACCTCTGCAACTTCTCTTCAGAATCTCCAAAGAGCAGTGTCATCAGCAAAGAGCAACTGTGACAACTCCCACTTTATGTGTGATTCTTTATCTTTTAACTCCATGCCTCTTGCCAAGACCCTCACATTTACTTCTCTTACAGCCCCATCTATAAATATATTAAACAACCACGGTGACATCACACATCCTTGTCTAAGGCCTACTTTTACTGGGAAATAATCTCCCTCTTTCCTACATACTCTAACTTGAGCCTCACTATCCTCGTAAAAACTCTTCACTGCTTTCGGTAACCTACCTCTTATACCATACACCTGCAACATCTGCCACATTGCCCTCCTATCTACCCTGTCATACGTCTTTTCCAAATCCATAAATGCCACAAAAACCTCTTTAGCCTTATCTAAATACTGTTCACTTATATGTTAGACAATAATATTAGGTGACTTCAAAATCTGCTGTCAACAACAAAACATTGGTGTAACATATATGTGAGCATGTTAGATAGGAGTGAATGAAGTCGAATGGTTTTTGGGACATGACGAGCTGTTGGAGTGTGAGCAGGGTAATGTTTTGTGAAGGAATTCAGAGAAACTGGTTAGCCGGACTTGAGTCCTGGAAATGGGAAGCACAATGTCTGCAATTTAAAGGAAGGGTTTAGGATATCGGCAGTTTGGAGAGATGTCTAAAGTGTTATATCTGAGAGAGACTGCAAAGACAGTGATTTTGTACGAGTGATGGTGAAAGTGTTGAATGATAATCAAAGTTTTTTTCCTTTCTTTTTTGGGGTTTTTTCTTTCTTTTTGGGTCACCCTGCCTCGGTGGGAAAAGGCCGACGTATTAAAAAAAAAAATACAAAGGCTAAATTCAGAGTAACCACTTACTTTCCAGTGCCTCCTTGTTGACGTCAAGTATGGCCAGTGCGACCATAAACACCACACGAGCACCATCGTAGAAAAAGCAGTCCACAACATGCACTGCTGCTTCAAATGGCATCACACTGGAAAAATTAAAACCATTTCAGTGTATGAGTTAACCGTTCAGCAAAAATTCAAATATATTATTAAGTAGTAACCACTTAAGATTAAAAAACTGTAGGAACCTGGAATCTGCCTTAGCAAATTTTAACCATGAAGGAAAATCATTACCCATTAATTAACGTGTTTCTAAAAAAAAGACAAGATAATAAGCACCATAAGATAATAAGCACCTGAGAAAAAGGGTGAGGAACCAGGACAATGAGATTAAAGAGATGATGCCCAAGTCTGACAGCTTGGTGTGTAGTCCTGGCATGTGATCCAGGATGAGGTCTTCAAGCACACCTTGATCCACCAAAGCCCCAACAACCCGGGTGTTGTAATAGTCAGGTAGGAGTCGCTCACTCAGGGCAGCCAAGAGCCAGAACGATTCCTCTTCATTGCAATACACGAGGAGGACTGATGCCACAATGTTCATGGCTTGGCAGTAACCTATGGGGATGTGAATTAGAACATTACATTATTAAAAAAAATATTGTAAACAGCCCTAAAGAATTAAGCATAGAATTAATCTTCATACTGTAGTTTGCAATTGTGTTATTACGATTACGTGAGACATTCCTAATAAGTTTGCATACATTTGGCACCAGTCAAAAATTCAGCAACCAACCAATGGCAGGGTTCCTCCAAGCATAGGCACAAAGGACACGCCTGAGAGCTGATATCCCTCTCTCACTCTGAAATGCAGGGTGCTCAGGAAGAGACCTGTGTAGGTCCCTCTCAATCTCATCATTGGCAGGGCCGCCACGCTTTAACCCTGCAATTACTGCTTGCTCATAATAGCCAGGATTCGTGGCCTGTTCATTTATGGCACCTGAAAGTAATAGCTTAATTATAGAAGAATCAATGTTTCCTTTGCAGCACTGGCACTAAAAATGTTGCACAGCAACTGCACACATTAACATTCCCTATCCATATCCAGTTTTATAATCACATTCAAATTCAAATTTTTATTCTTTTATGCAGTACAAGGATAATGTAGTTTACACATAATCAAATATTGTTATTGCTTTTCAGGCAATAACATAAGTACTTTTAATGAATTTACAGTTATAAAACATAAGACACCATGTTTAATAACCTTGCAACTAATATACCACAACTAACAAACATTGCTACACTTGCTACATATTGTACTTTTATCTATGTACTTGTATAAAGTTTGTTACCCATTATGCAGAAGCAGAAAAGAAGAACTTGACTCCTATATGTTACTTGGCTTGGACTTAAAATTTCTTATATTTATCCATTATTCACTGGACTAGTTTAATTTTTCGTAACTGTATTAGTTCCTGACCACCTCCCTGCTTCAGTTTCAGGAGAAAAAATTGCATATTTGTTGGACTATCATTAATGAAGAAAATTACAATATATTTTACAAAACAAAAGAAAAAGATATATTTCCCACTAGACTTCAGAAAGTTTGAGGTAATGCAAATGCAAAAGTTGATGTAACTGCTCGAGTTCATGTAAGTACCATTAGATTTGTGAAATGTGCTTGGAATATAAATTCTGTGCCAGTAGAATTTATGGAGATTACAATATCTATATATTTCATAATTCACTTACCATTTAACCAGTTAAATATGGCCTATAATACTTATTCCATACAACTTAAATAAAGCAAATTATTAAAAAATCATAAATATTCTCAACAGTATAATAATTTTCAATAGTGAAAAAAAAAAAGATTCAAATTATAGAAATCATACAAAATTTACAATCTTTTCTAACAACAGACACTACAAAATACTACGAAACAATGACCAACAACTAACCAGAAAATATTAACCACACTTCTCGTCTAACAGTGTCTGGGAGTCCTTCCAAGACCAAACGAAGAGTTTCCACTGTACGGTACATGGTTACACCGCGTCCATACTCACTCCAGTGTCGGTCCCACAAGGCCTCTTTCCTTTTTTCACAATCTCCTTCCTAGTTAGAAAGTACAGCACATCAATATATTAACCAGTTTAGTAAGAATGTTGTTCTGTATGTCAACATACGAGTATTTAGTACAAAAAACACTTAGCTAAACACAGCATCCAAAATATTTTTTTCCTTTAACACACTGGCCATCTCCCACCAAAGTAGAGTGACCCGAAAAAGAAACACTTTCGCCATCACTCACACTATCACCATCTTGCTAAAGGCACGCAGATATGAAACAATGATCTACATGATACAATGGCAAAAGGCACAAATTACAATAAATTTAAATTAAATGATTGTAGAGAAACAGATGAATAACAAATTCAGATTGACTAATCTAATATAGAACTTTCAGTTACTCTGATCACTGAAGCTCACTCAAACATTTTAGATGTCAGATATTCCCAACTATCCTAGGAAGCAATATTTTAAATCCTATCTGAAAGCAGAACTGAAATAAATCTTTAAAAACTTATTGGCAAATAAAGACAATCTAACTGAAAAATTGAAAATACAGAATATTCTGCTAAGACTCTAGTAGTATGAATATGAGAAAACAATTCATACAGTTGGAAAAATTTCAAAATCATGTGTACGGCCAAGACAAGTATAAAAGTATGAGAGTGAGAGTGAGAGAGAGCGAGAGCGAGAGAGACTAAAATAACAGACATACAGATCAAGCAGATTACAGTAAAAATAGTTATGAACAGGGAAGACCTTTGCATGGGATATTCTAGTAAGTAGCAGGGAAATTTCAAAATACCAAGAGAATACAAATACCAACATCCATATCATCCTCGAATCCAATATAGAGAGACCTCAAGGGCACGGTTGTTGTCTCGGCTTCAAGTGTCTCAGAGAAGCTTGAACCATTGTTGTCAGATATGCTGCCTACACCTGAAGCATATAAGTCTTGATCAGTCTCAAATACGGGTCTATGTCTACATGACTGTTATTCATAATTAGTATTTAGCAACTTTATTGAAGTGTAACAAGTGAAGTAATGTTTATAATTAAGTCTCATCACTTTCCTTTCAAATTTATAAATGTACCACATTTTCACAAATTTGTATTTTTAATGCCTTCAACCATTTTCTCTTAACTCCGACATCTAGTTAAGTTGCAGTAGAGTTAAACAAGAGAATGCACACAAACTACTTACATTAATAATACTGTAGTATAATAAATCACACTGAATATTCACTGCTCTAATAAGAACTCGTATCACAAAAAAAAATTTATGTCAAACTTCTCCATCGCTATAACTTCTGCATATTTCATAATAGTCTCACACCCGTACATACATACATTAAAGATATTCGAGCAGTGACAAGGTGGACATACACAGCTGTTCAAAAACGAGAGGACCAGGACAAAGGGACAAAAATGCAACCTGATCCAAATTTAGAAATGTCAAAAACCTGCAAGGTATGACAGTTATCTCAAGCTAATTAATGATTAATAAGTGAGTCCCAAGAATATCTCACACCCCTTACACACAAACATCCTAATGAAATGATGGTCACACTCACTTCACAAAACCTTAATACTGTACTTTCTTGAATACCAGCATGTCTAATATTTAACTACTGTACTGTTTACAATATACATTTTCATGCATGTTGCTTGTGCGTAAATTGCATGTAAAACATGGCCAGTTTTTGTCAACAAAATATTTCTAAACACCATCTCCTTTCCTCTTTAAACTTGTACAAAACTAAATTACATAAAAAATCTATGCAAGCTGTCTCAAATTATGAAAAAAATATCCTTCCAGGATCAAAAGTAAACTTAGAAGTAGCAGTAAACTTGTGGAAAACTGAATATAAACTTACTCAAACTACTAAGGCTCATGTCATCGCATTTATCATCAGTGACAGAGTTGGAGCGACTGCCCAGTCTGGCACTCCCCAGGACCATGTTGTCTGGAAGAGCACTGACAACAACATTCTCAATATCAATCTCGTGATAACAAAGATGAAAATTTTGATCAATTAGGTATTACAGCTAGAGTGCCATAAAACCATAAAATTTTAACAGTATTTAAGATAGTCTTCTGAATCATTATCATATCTGTTTCTTGCAGTCCTGCAACTATGTACATAATTTACCAGATTATTAAAGCAAATTAATAGTAGACTCAGCCAAATAATTTAACAGCAAAGGAGAAGTTGGCACACTTCATTATTTGTTATGGAGGCAGGTGGCCAAAAATTTTTTCCAAACTACTATATTGTGTTTATCAGTAATGATTATCTAAATGCTTTAAATGTGTAATCTAGTACAGGAACACTGAAAAAACTAATAATGAATTTCACTTACCAGTAGCATTTACATTATTGCCTTAGACACCATTAATGGAATTTGTGCAAAGCGGAAGAAAAGCAGAAGAGTATCTCAAAATATATTAAAAAAAACGTAAGGAAAACATACTGGGAGGAGAAAATGAGTAGAGGTAAGAGAAAATAACACTGAATATAAGAAAGAAATATAAGTAACTTTTAGAGCACAGTATGCTAATATATCAGTCCATCCTCCAAAGCAGATGTTGATTTTCTACTTATAGACCACAAACAGTGACAGTGACAAATACAGGTCATCTTACCTGACATTCTGTTAATCGTTACCTGAAGCAACTAAAGAGTGTGGGGAAGGTTAATGTGAACCTACTAGTATGAGTTTAATGTAGTGAGGCTTATCATCACACATACACTCTACATGTCAAGAAACATTAAGACTACCAGTTAAACTTCCTTACAAAATTATACCACACATACAGAAACCCGCCACATCTATACCAAACACATACTAAAGATGAATGTATTCAGGAGAGCAATTACCAAGAAGAATAAAAGGATTAGTAATGAAATAATGGTGTACAAGGCAGCATCTAGAAGAGGAGAGAGCTGCCAACTGTGGCTCTGACTTCTAGCAATATTGAGATCACATACTTTACTGTAATCTAATTCTTCAATACATATCTGAATTGTATGTACAACTTTTAATTCATGTGATCTATACATAAAGGGTTGATAATGTTGTTTAGTGGAAGAAAAGTAACACCACATTCTTTTGTTTTAACCAAAGCCAAAGTCAGTCTCTGCCTCCTTTATCAAGATAATTAATGCATTGATAAAATGATGATAAAGCATAATTATAACATATGATACGTAAAATGACAATAAAGCATAATTATGATAACATATGATACTGAGTTAATAATACTATGAAGTCTTCTACTGAAATTTTATTCTTAGCATTAAATTATATATTATTTTAAACATAACGAAGTGCTAAACCCTTAAGGGTCCTACAGCACTGTCTTGTTATTAAAGCAATGAAAAAGGTTGGTCAGAGGGAGAGAGTAAAGGGGGCATTGATGTGACAGTCACATTTTGCCAAAACTCTATTAAAAAGAAACCTGTGAACTTACTTCTTTGTTGGTATACTCTTCCCCAGCATCTCTGAGAGTTTGTTGATGACAAAGTCCCGATCCCCAACATCAATAAAGAGGAAAGTGTTGGACGAATTCACGTGTGAAGTACAAATGAAGAGGGCATTTTTCACTATGAGGTTGCCCTTCACACTGTCTACACGCTCAACACTCTGCACAGTCCGCAGTGGGCACACCACACTAACCAGGTTGGCGATCTAAAAATGTACAAGTTAATTATATAATCCATATCGGTGGGAAATGGCTGATGTGTTAAAAAAAAAAATTAACATTTTATTTCTTTGCAAAGTTTACAATCTGTGATTATAATGCTGATTTGTTAAGTACAAAGGAAGCCACTATCATGCCGGGGCATTTCGGACAGACTAAACCTAATGCTTCAATTAAGAACAAAAAAGAAATTCTAAAATTCTTTATACAGCGATACTGCATAAATTAAAAATTTTTACTCCATTATACCCTTTACTTTATACTCTCTAGAAGCTTATATGTTTGTACTTAAGTTGATGTGATAAAACACACACTTCAAGGAATTTAATGACTCAATTACAAACCTGACTTTTTATAATTACAGTGGTACCTCGGGATACGAACAGCTCAAAACTCGAACAATTATGTAAGTGCATTTATGCAAGTGCTTTTTTAAGTGTATTTTTTGGGGTCTGAAACGGATTAATCTAATTTACATTATTCCTTATAGGAACAAATTCATTCGGTATCGGCACTCGCACAGCCTTCTGGAACGAATTAACTTCGTATCCCGAAGTACCATTGTATGTCTTTCTTTCAAATGCCACTTACAAGTCCTTAAAATGTACTCTATTTTTTAAGTTTTATTAAACAAAATTACAAACTCATATTAAAAAACAAATGATCTACATCCACTGGCACTGCCTTCCTGCACTTTGTACAAGTACTGTATTTAAATGTATAACTCTGCCTACACAACGTATTAATACAGTTAAAAATTACAGGATTGCTAATATATGACTTATCATATGATTTGTAATTACTCAGCTTGCCCCACAGTGACTCTTCACATCTTTTTTCCCCTCAACGGCATTCTCCTGCCAAAGCAGGATGACATACATGTACAGATGAAAACATTCCCCACTAAGTATAAGCCCCTTCAGAAATAATGATTTCTTCTATAATGTGATACATTCTGTGCAGTGTATTGTAACATCTGTGACCCCCAGTGGAAATAAGTCACTGACTTCTTTTTGGTTATCCTAGGTAATTTACACAGATGTTAAACTAAGAATCTTTCCTCTGTAAGCCATGCGTGTTGAAAGAGGCAACTAAAGTGCCAGGAACAAGGGGCTAGTAACCCTTGTATAAATTACTAAATGTAAAAAGAAGATAAACTTTATAGCTTTCTTCTTGTTTGGCTCACTCTACCTTAGTGGGAGATGGCCAGTACTATGTTAAAAAAAAACCAATGTATGATAATTGTATTTATGTGCACTTGTACCTAAATAAACTTACTTAACTGGATATACAGTATAGTGACAAATACTATTTAGACCACAGAACATGTTTGATTCTTGTTACTGGACCAGACTGAATCTGGACAAATAAAATTACTGAACGAGGCAAATACAGTGGACCCCCGGTTTATGATCAGCTCCCAATGCGACCAATTATGTAAGTGTATTTATGTAAGTGCGTTTGTATGTGTATGTTTGGGGGTCTGAAATGGACTAATCTAATTCACAATATTCCTTATGGGAACAAATTCGGTCAGTACTGGCACCTGAACATACTTCTGGAATGAAATAATATCGTAAACCGGGGGTCCACTGTATAATGGTCATGTAAGAAGACACAATTACAAAAAAATGACAAAAACACACCTTGCTATCAAAACAAATATAGTTGAGAGAGATGTAGAGTGTGCCACTGACATAGGCTTTCTTGTATGGTGCCCACAGAGAGCAACTCGTTGACCCATCCAGCTTCTCTCTCAGGGGTAACCTGAGATGCAACAACCAACATTCACAAACAAATCCATCTCTCAATATTAAAGTTATATACTGAACTTCGTAAACAAAGTACACGTACATACCTATGTTGGTGACAATAGTTAAGAGAGAGATGATTTGCATATGGTATAAAAATGGAATATCGCATTATATTCAGTTATTACAACAATAAAAGCTAACTTTCACCCCTTAAACTACAAAGTTCAATAAAAAAGCAGTGCAAAATATTACCTAAATTTGCTACGGTACATATCCGAGTGGGCTCTGGCATCCAGGTCACGCTTCAGAAATGATGGCTTCTTGGGCACTTTCTTACTGTTAAGAACATTCTCATTAAATACATCTTATTTAGTTCCACACTTCAACACTAAAGTACTATTTTACATTATGAATCAGCAAAACAAAAAGCAGTATTCTGCATGCAAGACCATACCCCAATACTGGAGATGAGTTAGTACCATCAAGTACGGAACCAAGATAACCCATGAGAGTAACACATACTCAGCATGGCTCTTTACAACACAAGAAACATAGGACTATGTGAAAGAGTAGGAGTGTAGATGTTTACTATAAGTATAAACCACTCAGTGTTACTAATTTCTAGACATTCATTCAAGCTACAATATACAGCAATGCCCCAACTGACGATGCTAATGTTTTCCAGATAATTTGTTAAAAGTAGAATGCTCAGTACTAACATATTTTCCCATAAGAAGTAACTTGATAAATCTCTACATAGAGCAAAACATAGTCCCAATAAATGTTTACTCTGCATAAAGAATTAATATTTACTGTAGTACTGTAGTTGAGGGAGAAGAATTTAGAGGAATGAAAAGGAACAAGTGTTAAGTTAAAGTATTAGGAAGAAATTCTTTACATGACTACCATAAATGTGCAGAAAATATGCAAGATAGATATACTGTACAAGTCATGAGATCTCCCTGATAAGCACAGAGTTTTTCAGTTACATAATTTGAGTAAAGAAATGACAGGCATTATCAGAGATATGGACTAAATGAAAATAAATGAAAGATAAAGATTTTTTTTTTTTTTAACACATCGGCCATCTCCCACCGAGACAGGGTGACCCAACAAAGAAACACTTTCACCAACATTCAACACTTTCACCATCATTCATACATAACCACTCACTTTGCAGAGGAGGTCAAATATGACAATTTAAATGTCACTCAAAACAGCCAATATAACAAACCCCTCCTTTAAAGTGCAGGCATTGTACTTACCACCTCCAAGACTTAAATGGGGAGTTTTGAATCAAGTGTGAGAGTAATGGTGGTTGGGGATTTCAATGCTAAAGTGGGTAAAAATGTTATGCAGGGAGTAGTAGGTAAATTTGGGATGCCAGGGGTAAATGTAAATGGGGAGCCTTTAATTGAGCTATGTGTAGAAAGAAATTTGGTAATAAGTAATACATATTTTATGAAAAAGAGGATAAATAAATATACAAGGTATGATGTAGCATGTAATGAAAGTAGTTTGTTAGATTATGTATTGGTGGATAAAAGGTTGATGGGTAGGCTCCAGGATGTACATGTTTATAGAAGGGCAACTGATATATCGGATCATTATTTAGTTGTAGCTACAGTTAGATTAAGAGGTAGATGGGAAAAGAGGAAGGTGGCAACAACAAGTAAGAGGGAGGTGAAAGTGTATAAACTAAGGGAGGAGGAAGTTCGGGCGAGATATAAGCGACTATTGGCAGAAAGGTGGGCTAGTGCAAAGATGAGTAGTGGGGGGGTTGAAGAGGGTTGGAATAGTTTTAAAAATGCAGTATTAGAATGTGGGGCAGAAGTTTGTGGTCATAGGAGGGTGGGGGCAGGAGGAAAGAGGAGTGATTGGTGGAATGAAGAAGTAAAGGGTGTGATAAAAGAGAAAAAGGTAGCTTACGAGAGGTTTTTACAAAGTAGAAGTGTTATAAGAAGAGCAGAGTATATGGAGAGTAAAAGAAAGGTGAAGAGAGTGGTGAGAGAGTACAAAAGGAGAGCAGATGAAAGAGTGGGAGAGGCACTGTCAAGAAATTTTAATGAAAATAAGAAAAAATTTTGGAGTGAGTTAAACAAGTTAAGAAAGCCTAGGGAAAGTATGGATTTGTCAGATAAAAAAAGAGTAGGGGAGTTAGTAGATGGGGAGAGGGAGGTATTAGGTAGATGGCGAGAATATTTTGAGGAACTTTTAAATGTTGAGGAAGAAAGGGAGGCGGTAATTTCATGCACTGGCCAGGGAGGTATACCATCTTTTAGGAGTGAAGAAGAGCAGAATGTAAGTGTGGTGGAGGTACGTGAGGCATTACGTAGAATGAAAGGGGGTAAAGCAGCTGGAACTGATGGGATCATGACAGAAATGTTAAAAGCAGGGGGGGATATAGTGTTGGAGTGGTTGGTACTTTTGTTTAATAAATGTATGAAAGAGGGAAAGGTACCTAGGGATTGGCGGAGAGCATGTATAGTCCCTTTATATAAAGGGAAAGGGGACAAAAGAGATAGTAAAAAATATAGACGAATAAGTTTACTGAGTATACCAGGAAAAGTATACGGTAGGGTTATAATTGAAAGAATTAGAGGTAAGACAGAATGTAGAATTGCGGATGAGCAAGGAGGCTTCAGAGTGGGTAGGGGATGTGTAGATCAAGTGTTTACATTGAAGCATATATGTGAACAGTATTTAGATAAAGGTAGGGAAGTTTTTATTGCATTTATGGATTTAGAAAAGGCATATGATAGAGTGGATAGAGGAGCAATGTGGCAGATGTTGCAAGTATATGGAATAGGTGGTAAGTTACTAAATGCTGTAAAGAGCTTTTATGAGGATAGTGAAGCTCAGGTTAGGGTATGTAGAAGAGAGGGAGAATACTTCCCGGTAAAAGTAGGTCTTAGACAGGGATGTGTAATGTCACCATGGTTGTTTAATATATTTATAGATGGGGTTGTAAAAGAAGTAAATGCTAGGGTGTTTGGGAGAGGGGTGGGATTAAATTATGGGGAATCAAATTCAAAATGGGAATTGACACAGTTACTTTTTGCTGATGATACTGTGCTTATGGGAGATTCTAAAGAAAAATTGCAAAGGTTAGTGGATGAGTTTGAGAATGTGTGTAAAGGTAGAAAGTTGAAAGTGAACATAGAAAAGAGTAAGGTGATGAGGGTATCAAATGATTTAGATAAAGAAAAACTGGATATCAAATTGGGGAGGAGGAGTATGGAAGAAGTGAATGTTTTCAGATACTTGGGAGTTGAAGTGTCGGCGGATGGATTTATGAAGGATGAGGTTAATCATAGAATTGATGAGGGAAAAAAGGTGACTGGTGCGTTGGGGTATATGTGGAGTCAAAAAACGTTATCTATGGAGGCAAAGAAGGGAATGTATGAAAGTATAGTAGTACCAACACTCTTATATGGATGTGAAGCTTGGGTGGTAAATGCAGCAGCGAGGAGACGGTTGGAGGCAGTGGAGATGTCCTGTCTAAGGGCAATGTGTGGTGTAAATATTATGCAGAAAATTCGGAGTGTGGAAATTAGGAGAAGGTGTGGAGTTAATAAAAGCATTAGTCAGAGGGCAGAAGAGGGGTTGTTGAGGTGGTTTGGTCATTTAGAGAGAATGGATCAAAGTAGAATGACATGGAAAGCATATAAATCTATACGGGAAGGAAAGAGGGGTAGGGGTCATCCTCGAAAGGGTTGGAAAGAGGGGGTAAAGGAGGTTTTGTGGGCGAGGGGCTTGGACTTCCAGCAAGCGTGCATGAGCGTGTTAGATAGGAGTGAATGGAGACGAATGATACTTGAGACCTGACGATCTGTTGGAGTGTGAGCAGGGTAATATTTAGTGAAGGGATTCAGGGAAACTGGTTATTTTCATATAGTCGGACTTGAGTCCTGGAAATGGGAAGTACAATGCCTGCACTTTAAAGGAGGGGTTTGGGATATTCGCAGTTTGGAGGGATATGTTGTGTATCTTTATATGTATATGCTTCTAAGCTGTTGTATTCTGAGCACCTCTGCAAAAGCAGTGATAATGTGTGAGTGTGGTGAAAGTGTTGAATGATGATGAAAGTATTTTCTTTTTGGGGATTTTCTTTCTTTTTTTGGGTCACCCTGCCTCGGTGGGAGACGGCCGACTTGTTGAAAAAAAAAAAAATTATTATTTTTCAACATTGGCCATATCCCACCGAGGTAGGGTGACCCAGGAAAAAAAAAAAACACTTTCACCATCATTCACACTATCACTGAAGACATAGTGCAACATGAATGAAAAACTAAAGTTAAAAAATGTGTTAAGCTATATAAACTTGAAGCCATATGTTTCAATTAGTTAAAGAATTATGCTTTTGAGTATATCGTACAAAGCAGGCTTGTCAAATTCATTCTTACAATCATAAGGGCGAGTCTATAAAGCTTTTCTTATGGGCTAGATACACCCTTTGCTAGGTCAGCTTTCTTATTAAGATGTACAAAATTAAATGAAAATTAAAAACATTCATATTACCAATTATTACACTTTCAATAACAAAATGAAAAATATATAAGAATAAAGGAGACTTATGCATCCTAATGTTCCTTTCAATAACTACCCTAATATTCCTTTCAATAACTACCCTAATATTCCTTTCAATAACTACCCTAATATTCCTTTCAATAACTACCCTAATATTCCTTTCAATAACTACCCTAATGTTCCCTTCAATAACAACCCTAATATTCCTTCCAATAACCATCTTGAAGTTCCTTCCAATAACTTACGTTGCTGTAAACAAAACATTCTTACATACAAAACCAAGTTCACTTCAATAACTTGTGTTACTGTAAACCCAAGATGCTACTGCTCACCTGACTTTTGTCAGCAAGTCTTTATCTTCTGAGAATTCCTCATCATTAATTAGCCTGAAAAAAAAATTATATAACAAAATTACTGCAAGTATAGTTTCATCTACCTACCTATTAATCCTACTGAAATTTTTATAAAAATTGGAAAATGAAAACTGCCCACATTCTTCCTTTCTGAGATGGCCCTTGATGTGCACTTATAAAACAGACCCTCTACTTTTCTATGATACAAGTCAAGCTTAATAAAAAATAATAAAAAGAAAAGTACAGTGGTACCTGGAGTTTCGGCCGCCTCTCAACTCAAACAATTATGTAAGTGTATTATTGCAAGTGCTTTTTTAAGTGTATTTTTGGGGGGTCTGAAATGAACTAATCTAATTTACATTATTCCTTATGGGAACAAATTCGTTCGGTAACAGCACTCGAACAGCCATCTGGAACAAATTATGGCCAAAACTCGGGGTTCCACTATATTGTAATTTGTAACACTCCTTTTTCATAGAATTTTTTTATGGAATTTTTTTTATATTAAATGAATCAGTCAAATCAGTTGTCACAATACCCTACATACCACAGCACTACACATATGGGGCATCGAGAAGAAAATCAGCGAACTCGCCAATGAGCAAAAACTGCATTTTTTATTTTTTTTTTTTTACACCAAAGAGCTTATAATTCTTTCCAGTATCATATACTGTACATCACTCAGATTGGCAACTTTGTTACTTTTACCCTGCCTTTTCCCACTAAAAATAAAAAAAAGATGTTTGACCATGAGTTCATGTCTACAAAACAGCAATTTGACTCCCGAGAAAACAACAAACTTGCCATACCACCTCGAACCAGTTTGATCAAAATTGTGTGGTTGTGTACTGGGATACTGTTGCATGCATGTTGCAAAAGTTTGTGACTGACTGACTCAAAAGTGACATTTGGCAAGCTAATTGTTTTTTTCTAAGTACCTCACATACTATCCATATCCAATTTGTCATTCTCCTCTAAAATCTTTACTATGTCTCACATTCCTTATGCCACCCATGCTGATGTCTTTTTGAAGTACAAATTATTAGCCCTTTCATTAACTCCTTGGTCGCAGCCTTGACTCTCACGACCAATTCCGGTCTTTTATTTCAAAATTCTCTTACATTACCATACACAGTGGTCCCTTGATAATCGTCGGGCTCGATAGTCGTCCTTTTCAGAAATTGTCGCGTTATTTTCGTCCAAACATTGGCTCGCAAATGGTCAGTTGACTTGTTAATTGTCGTTCATCCTGGACACATACTCACGGCTCTGAGCCGCCTCAGCCTCCCTTCCCAGCCAGTGTGCCATTGTTTACCAGTGAGCAACGGTCCCCTCCCTTGTTCATATGAAATATTTCATAATATTCCATTCATTTTAGTGCTTGCAAGTGCTAAATAAGCTACCATGGCTCCAAAGAAAGCTCCTAGTGCCAAGCCTTTGGTAAAGAAGGTGAGAAATACAATTGAATTTAAGAAAAAATCATTGAACAAAATGAAAGTGGCGTACATGTAGCCGAACTGGCCAGGATGTATAACATACAACCATATCTTCCATCGTGGCAAAGAAAAAGGAAATCAAGGAAGCTGTTGTTGCTTGGAGAAAATTGTGGCCAGATTGTGTCCACAAGAGGGATTTTGAAGGGTTTGTGGCTGACCCTGATGAGCCTATGTCAGTTGTGAAATCTATTGTGGCATTGGGGAGTTCCATGGGGTTGGATGTGAGTTTGGAGGATGTGGAAGAGTTGGTGGAGGACCACAACGAAGAGCTAACCACTGAGGAGCTGCAAGGGTTTCAGCAGGAACAGCAACAGATCGCAGCTCAGAATCTTGCTGCAGAGGAGGAGGAAGAGAGATGGAAGGTGCCTTCTTCAGAAATTAAGGAGATTTTTGAAATGTGGGGTAGGATGTAAAGATTTATGGAGAAACATCTCCCGGAGAAGGATGTTGCAAGCCATATCGGCAACTTGTACAGTGACAGTCTTGGCCCATTTTAGGGAAGTTTTAAAGAGACGCCAGAAACAGAGCTCTCTGGACACTTTTTTTTTTTTTGCGAGACAGGACTCCAGTGACTCAAGCTGGTCCTAGTGACATTAAGAAACAGAGAAGAGAAGTATGTAACCCCAGAAAAGGACTTGGTACCTGAGGTGTTGATGGTAGGGGATTCCCCTTCCAAACAGTAACTAGTCCAGTCTTCCATACACTAAGAAGAATCGCCAATAAAGGTAAGTGTTATACGTACTGTTAATATTTCATTCGTCATGTCCCATTGTATTGTTTATGTACTACATCTATATTTCATGTAAAAAATTTTTTGTTTTAATACTTCTGGGTGTCAGGAACGGATTAATTGTATTTACATTATTTCTTATGGGGAAAATTGATTAAAAAATCGTCTATTTTAATAATCGTCGCACTTCCAGGAACGGATTAACGACGATAAACGAGGGACCACTGTAGTTTTATCATTGTCTAACTTTCCATTTATCATTAAGAATATTTCCCCCTCCTGCCCTTTCATCACCACATTTCTTTATATAATTTTTTCACCCTTTTGTTTTTTGTGCCTGCTTGCTTTTAACAAGTTTTGTTTATTCTCTTTTTGAGTTTTATATAGGTATTTTCATATTACACTGCTTATTCATTTTTACTCCTATTTATTAAAATTAGTATAAATAAGGTAACAAAAGCAAATAAAAATTGTCAATGAGGGACTTCCTCATTACAGTACTGCAAAGACAAAGGACAAACTATGAATAAATGAAATGCAATATTCTGTACCAAATTTTGCAAACACATATACAGTTTTAAATTATAAACCTTTTCTTCAGGCACGTTTCATCAGAAATTTGGTTACATGTTTGCTCAATATTGTGCTGAGCTTTAAACAGGTTCCAGGAGTTTGGGATCTCTTCGTGTAACTAAACTTTACTTTAGTGATCATGAATGATACATGAAGACAGCAAGAACTTTACACGAGATCAAAGTAACTTTCTTTATTTTTTAACTTACTATCTCCCACTCAAGTAGAGTGACCAAGAAAAATAAAAAAGGAAACACATTCACCATCATTCATTCAATCACTGGCTTGCCAGAAGAGTGCTGACATCACAGTTAAGATGACCCTGTGAACTGCAACATCTTCACCACCTCCTTTAGAGGATAGGCACTGTACTTCCTACCTCCAGATCTTAAATATGGCTAAACAGTTTTCTCTGAATCTTTTCTCATTAAATCACTTACTGTTTCATAGCCATATTGGCTAGCTGCTCCATCAGTTCATAAGTTTCCTTCTTCCTCAGCAACATGGAGAAATAATGCTGCAGAACAAACATATTTTGTTAGCAAAGGTAAAATATGTGACTAGTTACTACACAAACACACTGCTAGACACATTACTTCTCATCAATTTTTAGGTATTTATATAAAAAAAAATTTAGCCATGTATTCCCACTGACAATACACACTTTATTACATATGTGTGTATACAGTAAAACATCAAATAAACAAACTTCGATTTAACAGATTTTGGAAACGAACAAAATCTCCTGGGCAAATTTATGTTGGCTACAGAATTGTCCATCATTATAATCTGCTGTGTAAGTGACTTTGGAAACAATGGAGAAAGTCCACTGGTTATAAAATTGGCCATTATATTACAATCTGCTGGGTAAATATTTAAAAAGTAATGGATAAAGTCCATTAGTTACAGAATCTCTGTTATTGTTATGATCATTAATGAATCTCATTAATCGGAGTTATTAATCAATCTCATTAACCGGATTTATTAAATGTGCCGTGAAAGGCACCTCAGACAGGGAAGAAACAGACGAGAGAAAACTGCCTTGTATCATGCTAAAACTGTCTCTTTTCAGTTTTCTGTATTTTTAGGTATTTTTCATGGTTTCTAGCTATTTTCTGTAATGAACAGTCTCAATGAAAATATCAGCTTCCTCCATTAATAATTACATGGAAACTATGGCCTCGTATGATGCTAAAATTATCTCATTTTACATTTTCAAGTGTATATTCTGAATCAGCATAAAAAATAGTACGCCTGGTGTGATTTTAATGAATTTTGAAAATCCGGGATATTCTGAGGCGAAAAAACTTTGTCTCTCAGAATGGAAAACAGTCATGACGACACTGTTTGTTGGATCAATTTATCCCCACAAACGAAAAAATCCTGTGTATTCAGCTTTCATAGATGGCTATGAGAGCTGTATAAGTTAATCAATCTCATTAATTGGATTTATTGGACATTCGGTATTACTGAATATCCTCTCTCAGCTACTGTATTATTTTATTGAATTGAGGTTTCACAGTACAATTTTAAAGGCTAAAAAAAATTTTCCCCTTTCAGAAATGTCTTTAAATAAATTACTGGGTGAGAGAGTGGAGAGAAGATAGAAGTGTACAACACTGTGCAATAACAGCAAACAAGATAGAGTACAACCCCAGTATCTATGGGGGATACGTTCCAAGGACCTGCCGCAGATACTGAAACCGCAGATAGTAGCAAACCCTATACTATATGTCGTTTTTCACTGACATACATTATTATTATTATAAGGTTTAATTGGTAAATTGTACACAATTGAAACTCTTTCACTGATGGGAAGCACTTCATGGCTTCTCTTAGGCTATGAAGAACTTCGCCATCACTACTTTTGCACTTAGAGGCTATTATTAAGCAAAATTAAGGGTTATATTCAGGCCACAGGAAATCAGGGGTAACTGAAACCGTGGCTACAGGACCTGCAGATACGGGGGTCCCACTTTAATTACAAAAAAGTGTAGCACATACAGATTGGCTGACAATTCATAATAGAGTTAATATTAAAAAGAAAACTAATACATATAATTAATTTTGAAGTACAGTAATGTTTGTGCTAAGAGGTCACAGCAGGTGCTCTGAAATATTGGTAAGTGTACAGCTGGACATGGAATGCCACCAAGTTTAGTATTTTCAGAGAAAGAATTCCCACATTTTACGGCATCAAAAATGCTATTTTTTTCCCCTAATAAGTCATGAAAATTTACCCAGCATCTTCGGGGGGTATGTCTTCGACACTGGAGTGTCTTATTCGGCATAAAATACAGTACATATCACCTAACAGTTGCTGAGGTATATTACAAAACATAAAAATGTGACAAGGTCATCCAAAGAGTCTACTGTATCTAAGGTACTGCTCAATATATTAAAATAAAATCATATCTACCATTTCCCACTTTCAGTGCAAAGGAAAGCATATGCAAGAAAAATCTTGAAAGCATTAAAGGATAACTATTAAGAAGGTACATGTGAACCCACATGAATAAAAAAAATGAGAGGAAAATTAGTAAAGTACTCCATATTCTTATCATTGTACTGAGGTCCTCTTCAGTACTTATTGGAAATGAATGGCATGCATCTGCTGAAGATGCTCTCAGTACAGCTTAAACATACATTATTCATTTATCTTATTTTCTCCTTGCAAGCTGTCTTATTGCTGACCAGTATCCATAAGTTACAAGATATTCAGAGATGACGCCCAGTCTTTTATACAGTAAACCCAAAAAAAGTATTCACTCGAAAGATTTCAAACTACAGTGGACCCCCGCATAACGATCACCTCCAAATGCGACCAATTATGTAAGTGTATTTATGTAAGTGCGTTTGTACGTGTATGTTTGGGGGTCTGAAATTGACTAATCTACTTCACAATATTCCTTATGGGAAAAAATTCGGTCAGTACTGGCACCTGAACATACTACTGGAATGAAAAAAGTTCGTTAACCGGGGGTCCACTGTATTTATATTGAAATAACTGGCAGAAATATTCACTGTGGTGTGGAATTAAAAAACATCAGAAGTATATGGTCTAGGGCTTTGACAACTTTAAAGGATGGAAAATAACCAAATATGAAATGAGATAGTGGCCTACATGATAAAGTATGCATAATCTAACTCTAGTACGTAATACAAAAAATACCTGACAGATAAATAATTTACAAATGAAGTGTTAGAACAAATGACAAAGTTATACAAGTCTACTGAAATGGTGTAACTACATTAAGCTTATGATTTGTGAGGCTGATTAATGACACTATAAACAGCAGTAGAATTGCACCAGATAAATGCTATAAATGAACTGATGAGGGATTAATTCTAAGAGACAGGTGTGATCATTAAAGCCTGAGCATTTACTAGCATTAGATTTGAATTAAAAGAAGCAATAGTTTGGCTTTCTTTAAATGATTCAGGCTTCCATCTCACATGTATGTGAACTATAAAATTTGAGGTCATTTGTCTTCATTGTCACTCATCCAAAGCTAGCAGGTGTATGTTCGCTAGTCACACGTACATTCCCCAGTATACGCTTTTTCCCCATCTCAAATTAGCATGATTTAGCAATATACCAGAGTTTCTCTGTGAGTCAAGTGAGCAAAAATACCACAAAGAAAATAGGAAATAAAACCTGAGTGTTTTTATGTGCTTACACACACATCTTCAGTGGAATAGGAAGAGGCAACAGAAGAACACTTTAAATGTTATACACTGAGGTGACACTTCACTCAGTGAAGGTGACAACACTTCATACAAGCCTGTCCTACACATACATTTGTCCATCATTGTAGAATACAGATGTGTATGTATATTTAGTGACCATTTGTGTGTAAAGGTAGAAAGTTGAATGAACATAGAAAAGAGTAAGGTGATGAGAGTATCAAATGATTTAGATAAAAAAAAATTGGATATCAAATTGGGGAGGAGGAGCATGGAAGAAGTGAATGTTTTCAGATATTTGGGAGTTGACGTGTCAGCGGATGGAATTATGAAGGATGAGGTTAATCATAGAATTGATCAAGGAAAAAAGGCGAGTGGTGCATTGAGGTATATGTGGAGGCAAAAAATGTTATCTATGGAGGCAAAGAAGGGAATGTATGAAAGTATAGTAGTACCAACACTCTTATATGGGTGCAAAGCTTGGGTTGTAAATGCTGCAGCGAGGAGGGGGTTGGAGGCAGTGGAGATGTCCTGTCTAAGGGCAATGTGTGGTGTAAATATTATGCAGAAAATTCGGAGTGTGGAAATTAGGAGAAGGTGTGGAGTTAATAAAAGTATTAGTCAGAGGGCAGAAGAGGGGCTGTTGAGGTAGTTTGGTCATTTAGAGAGAATGGATCAAAGTAGAATGACATGGAGTGTGTATAAATCTGTAGGGGAAGGAAGGCGGGGTAGGGGTCGTCCTCGAAAAGGATGGAGGAAAGGGGTAAAGGAGGTGTTGTGGGCTAGGAGTTTGGACTTCCAGCAAGCGTGCGTGAGCGTGTTTGATAGGAGTGAATGGAGACAAATGGTATTTGGGACCTGACGAGCTGCTGGAGTGTGAGCAGGATAATATTTAGTGAAGGGATTCAGGGAAACCGGTTATTTTATATAACCGGACTTGAGTCCTGGAAATGAGAAGTACAATGCCTGCACTCTAAAGGAGGGGTTTGGGATATTGGCAGTTTGGAGGGATATATTGTGTATTTTTATACTATATACTTCTAAACTGTTGTATTCTGGGCACCTTTGCAAAAACAATGATTATGTGTGAGTGAGGTGAAAGTGTTGAATGATGATGAAAGTATTCTCTTTTTGGGGATCTTCTTTCTTTTTCGGTCACCCTGCCTCGGTGGGAGATGGCCGACATGTTGAAAAAAAAAAAAAAAAGTATTTAATATTTCTCCATGGGGAAGTGGAACAGATTTCCTCCTCTGTAAGCCATGCGGGTCGAAAGAGGAGACTAAAATGCTGGGAGCAAGAGGCTGGGAACTCCTTCTCCTGTTTACATTACTAAAGTTAAAAAGAGAAACTTTCGTTTTTCCTATTTCGACCACCCTGCTTCGGTGAGATACAGCCAGTTTCTCCATGGGAAAGTGAAACAGAATTCTTCCTCCGTAAGCCATGCATGCCGTAGGAGGTGACTAAAATGCCAGGAGCAAGGGGCTAGTAACCTCTTCTCCTGTATGTATTACTAAATTTAAAAAGAAAACTTTCATTTTTCCTTTTGGGCTACCCTGATTCAGTAGGATATGGCAGGTGGGTTGAAAGTAGTAGTAGTACAGTGGACCCCCATATTACGAACGCATCGCGTTACGTTAAATCCGCCATACAAAGCATTTCAACGCAAAAATTTTGCCTCGCCTCACGATAAAAAACTCGCCTTATGTGATTCATCCGGGATGCGTCCCACGTGTGGCCTCAGCGCCAGTGTTTACAAGCCAGCCAGTGCGGTCACCTCTATGCATACATTCGGTACATTTCACATTATCCCAGTGTTTTTAGTGCTTGTAACTGCAAAATAAGTCACCAGGGACCCGAAGAAAGCTTCTAATGCCATCCCTGTGGTAAAAAGGGCGAGAATTAGTATGGAATTGAAAAAAGAGATTATGGAAATGTGTGCAAAGTGGGTTGAACTGCAAACCTTTATGGATGAAAATCACCCTGACACAGCTACTGCAAGCCGTGTTGGCAACCTGTACAATGACAATGTTATGGCCCATTTTAGGAAAGTCTTAAAGGAACGGGAGGTACAGAGTTCTATGGACAGATTTGTTGTGCCACAGAGGTCCAGTGACTCTCAAGCTGGTCCTAGTGGCATTAAAAGAAGAAGGGAAGTAACCCCAGAAAAAGACTTGCTACCTCAAGTTCTAATGGAAGGGGATTCCCCTTCTAAACAATAACTTCCACTCTCCCCTCCTCCCATCCCATCAATCATCACCAGATCTTCAATAAAGGTAAGTGTCATGTATTCTATTCTTAGTAGAATAGTAATTGTGCATGTCTTCTTCAGTTTGTGTGCATTAAAATTAATATTTCATGTGGTAAAAAAATTTTTTTTTTTCATACTTTCGGGGTGTTAGGAACGGATTAATTTGATTTCCATTATTTCTTATGGGGAAAATTAATTCGGCTAACGATAATTTCGGCTTATGATGAGCTCTCAGGAACGGATTAATATTGTAAGGCGGGGTCCACTGTATTTATTATGGAATACCCAATTTTACACAGACATTAATCTAAGGGTTAAGAATGGGTAAAGACAATGCAAGGACAAGACAAATATACTGTCATACACAGTACCTCATGATCTCTAGTGGACACTCTTATACTGTCAGGGAAGATGAGCGCGTTTGTACAGTCGAGCAGTGTTACATCCCTCCATCGCACGATCACACGAGTTTCTTTACCAAGGAGGAAGGAATAGAAGCAGAGGTAGTTGACACTCAAGTATAACCAGCCTTGTCTTGGTAGTCGGTTGTGCCAGTAGCTGCAGGAGAGGTACAACTTAATGCTCATCATGTTATTCACAAAATCATAACAACATGGTTGCAAACAAGGCTTTACAACTCCCTTGCCATAGGTTCAAACCCCACCCACTCATTACACTCAAACTGTTCTGCACGATAACTGATTTAGCTCATTTTAATTAATACTTAAAGAACTAATGCATCAATCAATAAATTTGTATTAAACAAATATACAAATTGTTTTTGTTAGTAAGAGCTCTAAATCAACAACTATTTTCATTTAAAAAAATTGAAAGTGTAACCAAAATTACTTCCAGTTCAAAGAATCCACCAACTTCATTAGACACTTAAAATCACATTTTAATAACAAACTGTACTAAAAGGAAAGTCACCTGTTCTATATTCAAATGAACTAATGATCAAGTACATCCAATATTAAAATGTAAATATAAAAAAAAAAGCTGCAGAGAAATTATTTTGACAGCAGACTTTTGTGCATATTCTAAAATGAATTCAATAAATACAATGCAATTTTCTTGAACTGCCAAAGACCTTAAAAGCTCAAAGAAGCAGTTGGTAAGTAAGTTTATTCACATACAGGTACACATAAATACAGTTATATAAATTATCATACAGAGCAGCATGTGTGTAGATTACCTAATATAACCCCAAAAAAGTCAGACAGCCTTATTTCCACTTGGGTAGAGGGCAGAATGACAGTCAAATTATCCCAGAAATCTATTAATGGAAACTCTGATAGCTGGTACTGTAATTGATAATTTATCAACTTTTTACAAAGACTAGCATTTTATGTATCTGTAGCTGTATCTCTGCCAGTACATATCTATGTAAACACCTCGCAAGTCATTCATCCATTCAAATTTATTCAGCTCGAACTGTAGTCTCCAGTAATTTACCAATCATTCAATTATTCAAACCTACCTCTAACTGAAATTTCAAATTACTTATTTATCATTCTTTTCATCTATAAATGCTGCCAATAACTATTAAAATACTTTGACCAATTTTAGCTCATAATATACAGCTATTTTCCTTACAATTTTTTAAACATCCAATCTTCAAGCTGCACTTGTATATTTTGCTAAATTCTTTAACACTGTGCTTTAAGTTTTCTACTAACTTTAGTTTTTTAACATGCTGGCTGTCTCTCACAAGGCAGGGTGACCCAAAAAAAGAAACACTTTCACCATCATTCACACAATCACTGTCTTGCCAGAGGTGCACAGATATGACAATTCAGATGTCCCTCCAAACAGCAAATATTCCAGATGCCTCCTTTAGAGTTCAGGCACTGTACTTCCACCTCTAAGACTCAAGTCCAGCTAACTCTCCAGGACTCAAGTCGGGCTAACTCTACCATTAAAATTCATAATGCAAGTACTAAAGTACATAACATTTCATGCTTACACCCTTCCATCCTTTTTCAGTCTTATTACATTACACTGAGGTACAGTACTATCCTTGCTTCCCACATATAAAAGAAGCTTTGAGTTTCCATAAAAACATACAAGTAGCATACCCAGATGATTTTTTTTTAAGGTGATCAACAGCCTGGCTAGAGAGAGAATGGGACATACTTAGCACCTGAAAGACTGTGCATCCACCACTCATTATGCTGAATAACCCACATGGGTTTAAGTCTTTATCAAATACAATACAATCTCCTTTATTTTAGTTACATCACATGAAATAGGTATTGAGCACCTTTGTACCATTTAAGACACACTGATCAATAACTTTTTTCTTTTATTAAAATATTTTCTACTAGACTCTTAATGAGATAAGATCCGTGCCAGCTAATTTTTACCGATACACACAACACCAACTTGAAATTTCTATCATTAGTTTCTGTCATTACCTCTACCCTACTACTCAAACCGTCACCAATGCCATTACCTCTTTCATCCACCACATAACACTGACACACAGGTACCGTACAGTATTTTATTAACCTGCAGGAATAATAATTAACAAGTTTCTCTCCTTCTGGCATATTGAACAACTTCCGAAACTTGAAAGAAGTGGCTTTGAACGAATCAGAATCTGGATCTGAAAACAGAGAAAAAAGTTACTAACATGTTTTTCCTATTGATGTGTATTCACACAGACCAATACACTGTTTCTCTATCATTATTTCAATGCTACCATAAAATTAATTTGCCATTATGCTGTTATGCAGGATACTGCATTGTAACAAATTTTATGTAAAATAAGGTGTTTATAGTGAAAAAAAAAAATGCTCCATAATTTTATAAATACAGTGGACCCTCCATTTTTGTCAATCTCCATTATCATCGGTTTCCATTTTCGCTGACTTTTTTCGTCAAAATATTGCCTCCGTTTTCATCGATTTCCTCTGTTTTCATCGATGGTACGGAACCTGTCCAGTGCCCACAGCACACACAAAAAAGCCTCACACACACATTCTCAGGCAGTGTAGTGTTGTTTCTCGGTGAGTGAACATATCCTGCGAGGTCATACAAAACATTTCGTAACAATCCATTGCTTTTGGCACTTGTTTGTGCATGACTGCTAAATAAGCCACCATGGGCCCAAAGAAAGCTTCTAGTGCCAGCCCTCTGGTAAAGAATGTGAGAATCATGATAGAATTCAAGAAAAAGTTTGTAGAAAAATACGAAAGTGGTGGTGGTAGAGGGTGGTAGTTGTTGTGATGGTGGTAGAGGGTGGTAGTGGTGGTGATGGTGGTAGAGTGTGGTAGTGCTGGTGGTAGAGGGTGGTAGTGGTTGTGATGGCAGTAGAGGGTGGTAGTGATGGTGGTAGGTGGTAGTAATGGAGATATGTGCAATGTGGAGTAAGATGGAAAGATCTGTGGCTTTAAAAAACAAAGAAGGAAAGTGACCCCCAGATAAGGCCTTGGTACCTAGAATCCTTATGGATGGGGATTCCCCTTCCAAAGCATAACCTCTCTTCTCTCTCCCCTCCTCCCTGTCTTCCATCCACCATCAACAGTCTTCAATAAAGGTAAGTGTCATGTTGAATGTTCATTCTTTTGTGCATCTTTAAGGTAAAAATTTTTTTTTTTTTTTTATACTTCTGGGTGTCTGGAATGGATTAATTGGATTTGCATCATATCTTAGGGGAAAATGTTTCTGTTTTCACCGATCTCTCTGGAACGGATTAAACACGAAAACCAAGGGTCCTCTGTAATGTCATCAATTTGTGGTAACTTTGTAACAATGTCTCTATATTATCTTTCATAGCATAATTATTTTCATAATATAATTACAAAGTATTAAACTGTAAAATCACTGAAAAAGTAGAGACAGCAAATTTTTTTGTATTTGATGCTTTTCTTTTGTCTTGCCAAACTCACAATGTTTTTCAATACGTGCTACACTACTATTTTTAGAATCGCTTTAACACAATCTTACCCTTATGGTAGTTACCAGGAGTATTATGTGGGTCCATCACAACTGAGTTTGCCACCAGAGATTCAATTTTACAACGGACAAAATCTGTGACATCCTCATCCTTGTCGAAAGTGGCCAAGATGCTCATCAGGTTACGCTCTATCCACACCCAATTCTCATTAATGTCCTCCTTCTTCAAAGACACGGCCACAACTACAAAAATGGAGAGGTGACTGACCTAAAACTGATAAATAACTGAAGATCCTTCCTGATTAATCTAAATTTATAGTAGAATGCATAATAACCACAGGGGGAGTTGAATGATAGCTCTAGGCCTTTAGTGTTGCAATCAACATATCAGGAGCTTGCAATGTTGCAGAAAGAGTAAGAAATCCAGGCAGATTCATTCAAGGGAATGGCTCTCTTCATCATTCATCTCCCCCTGTAGTTATTTTGCACCTATTTATCATTCATTCACAATTATTCATTACAGTAGAATAGTAAAGTAATAAACTATTCCATGACAGCAATGATGCCATGCAGTCTTATATTCAACCATAAACTGCCCACCATAAGAAATAAAAAAAATACAGTTCAGTACTAATTTGTAATTATTAGTTGTCTGTGCTGTACACCTGATTACTTCCTAGTTATGTATAAACAAAACATTTATGCATGGAGAGAAGATATCTGTGGAAATGCAAGAAATAAAAACTAAAAAAATGATAAAATAAAGAATAATTTATCCGTATCACTGTATACCAGCATGCTAATAGTTAACCTTTCTTATCCCACACACAAAAACTCTGGCAATATGTGAAAATTATGAAATTTAAGTGGAAAAAATCTATAGGAAACATTTACTGTAGTATATTTCTGAAGATGGTGTCTGGTGTAGAATCCGATATGGTGGCGGCTTGGTATCAAACACAGAGTCGAATGTTCCAACCAAAAGCCCTGTAAACCCTTTCGATGCTGCATTCCCTGAGCCCTTGCGCTGCTGCAGCAGGAAGTATGTGTTGGCCACCTCTGTGTCCCTGAAATCCAATAAAAAATATTTAGTTTATGTAGTAAAGTGTCTACATTAGGCTTAAGCTTGCCCAAAATGCTCTGCATAATCATGGACTTTTTGCATGCATTCAAGTGTCACCCGTTCCTGTACAAACAATGTATCATGTAGAAATATACTTGAATTTTGAATTAGTACTATGAATGAAAATATTCTTTAAAAAACAGCAATATGAAGGATTACCTTTAAAGATTACTAGTTTATTTTTAAGCCAATATAAACTATTTAACAATTAATCTATGCTACCATGATAAATTTGATCAACTTTTGAAAGTTTTATGAAGAATATCTTTTGTTATTTGGTATCCTGCAAAAATGTGTTTATTTAACAAACTGAATTACATACATGTCCTGTGTCACAAACCTACTAGAGTTTTATGACAAGGTAACTGAAATAAGAAATGAGAGGGAGGGGTGGGTTGATTGCATTTTCTTTGGACTGCATGAAGGTCTTCGACACAGTTCCTCACAAGAGATTAGTACAGAAGCTAGAGGATCAGGCACATATAACAGGAAGGACACTGCAATGGATCAGAGAATATATAACAGGGAGGCAACAGAGGGTCATGGTACGCGATGAGGTATTACAGTGGGCACCTGTGACGAGTGGGGTCCCACAGGGATCAGTCCTGGGACCAGTGCTATTCTTGGTATATGTGAATGACATGACGGAAGGGATAGACTCATAAGTGTCCCTGTTTTCGGATGATGTGAAGTTAATGAGGAGAATTAAATCAGATGCAGACCTGACAGGTCTACAAAGAGGCCTGGACAAGCTGGACGCGTGGTCCAGCAACTGGCTCCTAGAATTTAACCCCACCAAATGCAAAGTCATGAAGATCAGAGAAGGGCAAAGAAGACTTCAGACAAAGTATAGGCTAGGTGGCCAAAGACTGCAAACCTCGCTCAAGGAGAAAGATCTAGGGGGTGAGTATAATACCGAGTACGTCCCCAGCAGCACACATTAACCAAATAACTGCTGCGGCATATGGGCGCCTGGCAAACCTGAGAATAGCATTCCGGTACCTCAGTAAGGAATCGTTCAAGACTTTATACGCTGTGTATGTCAGGCCCATACCGGAGTACGCAGCACCAGTTTGAAACCCACACCTGGTCAAACATGTCAAGAAATTAGAGAAAGTGCAAAGGTTTGCAACAAGGCTGGTTCCAGAGCTAAGGGGAATGTCCTACGAAGAGAGATTAAGGGAAATCGTCCTGACAACACTGGAAGACAGGAGGGTCAGAGGAGACATGATAACGACATACAAAATACTGCGTGAAATAGACAAGGTGGACAGACACAGGATGTTCCGGAGATGGGACACAGAAACAAGGGGTCACAATTGGAAGCTGAAGACTCAGATGAGTCAAAGGGATGTTAGGAAGTACACCTACCATCCAACTTACGACTGAGTTCGGTTCCGAGAAACCGGTCGTAAGTCGAAATGGACGTAAGTCAAACTTTACTATTGAATATCAACATCACATTTTTGTAATGACTTTATTTTATTGTTTTATTTTGGTATTTCATGTTTTACTTTACTTTTTATGCTGTTAGTACTGTATTTTATACTGTAAGGTTTAGGATAAACACTGTGTACAACACAAACAGTTGTTTATTTCCCAGAAATTTGGCAAAAAAAACAGTCGTAAGTCGAGTGGTCGTAAGTCGAGCAGGTTGTAAGTCGGATGGTAGGTGTATTTCTTCAGCCACAGAGTTGTTAGGAAGTGGAATAGTTTGGCAAGTGATGTAGTGGAAGCAAGAACCATACATAGTTTTAAGACGAGGTATGATAAAGCTCATGGAGCAAGGAGAGGGAGGACCCAGTAGCGGTCAGTGAAGAGGCGGGGCCAGGAGCTGAGTTTCGACCCCTGCAACCACAATTAGGTGAGTACATGCTGGTACCTACTCATAGTTTAATAATGACACTTTTTGCTGACCATTTACAGCACCAAAAAAACATTCAGAATATGTGCCATTCTTTTAGGTACCTAATGCCATATAGGAGAGAAACTACACAAGATTACTTTTTGTGACTACACTGTGCGGGGTGTTCAAGTATTGTTCCAGTCATGGTATTGTGCCTTTTTGTTATTTAACAGTCACTCACTTGGCTCATATAACTGAACTATAACATCTTAATAACTGGGTCTTTACCAAAGTGTAATGCACATGACTGAAGTGCTCAAGATACGTACCTGGTTTCTCTCCTCACATTTGTAATGACCCTGTTATTGGCCCAATAACTACTATTTTCTTGAAAACAGTTATAACAAACTGGCAGCTGTCTACTACAGAGGAGTTGGTCACCCAGTCAAAACTATATACACATTTGTAATTGTGGTCAATAAATGACCCTCATTATATAAAAAATATTATCATCAATTTAAACTAAAACTTTAATTTTAACAATCCTCTTGATATATATATTTGGTTAAAAAACTGGATATTTGACTTGTCTAGGCACACCATGGAGACTTGGAAGGCTGATCTCCTAAATGTGTTGACTGCTGTGAGGGAGGATAAAGTGGTGTATAATTTAAATATTAGAGAGAGTTGTAAGGCAGTGGAATAGCCTAGAAAATGACGTAGTGGAGGCAGGAACCATACACAGTTTTAAGACGAGGTTTGATAAAGCTCATGGAGCGGGGAGAGAGAGGGCCTAGTAGCAACCGGTGAAGAGGCGGGGCCAGGAGCTAGGACTCGACCCCTGCAACCACAAATAGGTGAGTACAAATAGGTGAGTACACACACACCTACCTTTCAATACTAATCAATACTCCCACTAGCTATTTAAATTATTATTATAATCAAAAAGAAGCGCTAAGCCACAAGGGCTATACAGCGCTGCAGGGTAGGGAAGGAAGCAAGGGAATTGGATGGCAGAAGGGAGGGGGGATGATCAGCAGGTTACAGAAAACAGCGGGGCAGGGGATAGTACGGGGGTAGAGGGTAGCAAGAGATACAAGTAGAAAGGGCTGAAAGTATCAAAATTTGTGGAGTAAGTCAGTCGTTGTCAAAAAGTCAATGAGAGAGTCCGGATGAAAGGTGGGTCCATCAGCGAGAAGGGAAGGTAAAGAGAGAGCAGCGGGGCGAAGACGACGACAGAGGTAAATTCTGCGTGCTCGTTGATAAAGTGGGCAGTCCAACAGAATGTGGCTGACTGATAATGGAGCTTGGCAATTCTCACAGAGAGGAGCAAGACGCCTCTCCATGAGAATATCCATGAGTAAGACGAGTATGGCCAATGCGAAGACGGGAGAGAGTAGTCTCCCAACTCGACACTGGTGATAAGAAGAGGGCCAGTAACCTTACTCGGTTTAATAGACTGAAGTTTGTTGCCGAGCATAGTAGACCAACGTTGTTGCCAACGGGTGTGAAGGTGGGAAGATATTACAGCAAAATAGTCCGTACATGGAATACCTCTATAAGAAACTGGTAGGTCATGTACGCTGACCGCGCAGCAGTGTCTCCCTGTTCATTGCCCTGTACGTCAACATGACCAGGGACCCAACAAAAAAACAATATCTTTATGCTTAGTAAAGATGCGGCGTAGCCAAAGTTGGATACGGAGGACTAAGGGTGGAGGTGTATCAAATTTTTGTATAGCCTGTTAAAGCACCTAAGGGAGTCTGAGACAACCACAAATGATGACACAGGCATAGATGCAATACGGATAATTGCTGTAAGGATGGCATATAATTCAGCAGTAAAAATACTAGCTGAAGATAGTAAATGCCCTTGTACGACGCTGTCCGGAAACACTGCTGCGAATCCTACGCCGTCAGAAGACTTAGAGCCATCTGTGTACACAGCAATGGCATGAGAATGAGAGTGAAAGTGGTCAAGAAAAGAGAGCGGGAAGCGACCGTAGACAGTTGGGCTTTCGAGCAAGGGAGGGAGAAAGAACAGACTCGAACAGCTGGAACTTCCCAGGGGGGTAGGGAAAAGTGTGATGCTACATGTACATAGAAAGGTGGTAGTTGAAGAGAAGACAAGAGCGAATGAAGGCGAAGAGAGAAGGGACGGAGTAAGCAGGGGCGGCGAACAAATAAAGAATGTCTACTAATATCAGTGACCATTCTATAAATGGAAGGATTGCGGAGATCATGAGAGCGTACATAGTAGCGCAGGCAATGGGCATCACGGCGATCGGATAAGGATGGAACGTTCGCTTCTGCATAGAGGCTTTCGACAGGGGAAGAGCGAAAAGCACCAAGGCATAAACGTAATCCTTGGTGATGAATGGGGTTAAGGCTAGAGAGTAGCAGGAGATGCCGCTGAATAGATCTGGTCACCATAATCAAGTTTCGATAAAATAAGGGTGGAATGTAGGTGAAGGAGGGTTCGACGATCAGCTCCCCCACGAAAGTGAGCAAGGGTTTTAAGGGGGTTCAGCCGGCTGTGACAAGTTGCCTTCAGAGAGGTAATGTGAGGTTTCCAGGATAACCTACGATCAAAGAGGAGGCCCAGAAACTTGACTGTATCACGTTCAGGGATACGTGAGCCATAGAGGTACAAAGGATGATCAGAGATGACAGAGCGTCTAGTGAAAGTGATTTGGTGGGTTTTAGTGCTGGAAAATTTAAACCCATGTGTGGTGCCCAATTGGAAACACGGTCGACTGCATGCTGGAGAGAAACTGTAAGGAGGTGACAGTCAGCGCCTGCACAGGCAATAGCGAAGTCATCAACATAGAGTGATGACCAAATATTTGAGGGAAGACTAGAGGCCAAATCATTAATAGCAAGGAGAAAAAAGTGTTGTGCTCAGAACACATCCCTGGGGACACCTTCAGCTTGGATAAAGTCCGGGAGAGCACATTATTAACCCGAACACGGAAATGCCTGTCAGTTAAAAAGTTCTTAAGGAAGGATGGTAGATTGCCTCGAAGGCCTAAGGAGTGGGCTTGGGCTAAAAATTATACCTCCAAGTTGTGTCATATGCCTTCTCAAGATCAAAAAATA